ATATTTTGAGGTTATAATTTATGTTCACACAGTAACGTTATAGTTATAGGCTGATAGTTTTAATGTGTATGTGATATTCTTTTTTAGAAAAAGCAGAACAGAAAAATGCTAAAATGGAGATAAAGAAAAAGAAGAAATTGAGTAGAGTACTGATGATAAAAAAAAGTGCAGCAGGACCTCTGAAAACAGTAATTAACAGTTCCCCAAAGGTGATTCCAATGAAGCAGACTCTAAATACCTCAAATATCCCGTCCAGTCCCACAAAGAAATCTACAGTATGTAAAAAATCCAAAGACAAAATAAAACCAGGAAAACCAGAAACAAAATTATTTGGTGACAAATTACCAACAGTGGCACAACTATTGGGGTTGACAATGAATGATATTGATACAACCCCAGCAGGCCATGTTGATTCAGCAACAATATCAGTACATGAAACATCTTCTGTTGCAAGTTCTACATTAATCAACACAAGTGCTCCACTTCCACCTGGCTTTATTGTCATTCAGGGCAGCAATGGAGCTCAACAAACGTCCTTAAGTTCTACCTCTGTGGTGAACCATCACCAAACACAACCATGCGTTGTGATGCCTACCAGCTCTCAGGCGATGACAGCAAAGAAAATAAAAAGAACATCAATGGTATCACAGCCAATGTCTTTGGTACTCTCAAATTCTACCTCTAGTAATGTTGGAGTGAACAAAAGGAAGCAAAATAGTGTTGTTGCAGTAACCAAGTCCCATCTATTAACTGCACCAGTAATAGCATCTGGTATTCAAACTTGCCCTCCCCCTGCTGTTATAACTAATCACAACACAGGACTTGCTGGTTTTGGACCTGGTACACTGATATTAGCAAATGGAAACATTGTTCCTGTTCTTCCTCCACCTCAGACTCTACTTACAGCAACACCAACACGGTTCATTGTCAATTCAAATCATTTGCCACCTCCTGCAAATCCTACTCCAGTGATAATGATGCAGCAGCAGAAGAATGCAGTCACAGTAACTACCTCATCAAATGGTGCTGCTTTGATTGCGACATCGTGTTCCAAACCTCAGCAACGTTTGTTTCCAGTGTTGGTCCCAAAGGTTTCAAAGAAACCTGGGACTTCAGATACTACTGTAACTACATTTGCTAATAAAGTTCCCATCCCAGCATTAACATCACGGCATCAGCCTGTCAAGCGTCAACAGATTCAGGCTCCAGTAGCTAACATTATGACAAAATCTCCAGGCAAATATAAAAATAAAAATGATAATGAAAATATTAAACCAGCTAATGCTGGTCTGCTGGTATGTGCAAGTGACAAAGTTATAAATTCTGGAACCAAGAAGACTGCTTTATGTAAGGTGAAAGAGAGACTGACAAAAATTGTAAGTGCAAATGAGAACAGTAGACAGAGGTCACTTGACGGTAGCAATGACAAAGCCATTGTTACAGATATGAATGTGAACAGTTCAAGAATGAAAAAAGGGAATGGCTTACAGAAAAGAACAGAGACAGCTGAAGAATTTTCTGAGAAAGTCAAAGATAAAGATAAGAATGATGAGACAAAGAGAGTGCTCATATCTGATGCTGCCACAAGAAATGATAAATCAAACTGTAAACAGGATGGATACTGCACTTCTGGTAATGTGGAAAAACAGATAGAAGGCAGTTTAGAGAAAGAAACAAGACTCCTGGATATAAATGAAAACCTTGCAGCTGCAAAGAGAAAGCAAGAATGTGAAGAGGAAGCTAATGAAGAGATTCATAATAAGAAAAAACGAGTGACATATGATATGAAAAGTAATGATTCAAACAATGCTGACATGGAAACTAATAATGCAGCCACTGTGTTATGCCCTGCATTATTGGACAGCACATCACCATCAGCTCTGACAACCCATAAATCTTGTAAATCTGGCACATACACAATTGATGTTCTCTGCATGACAAAACCAATTAAATGTCCCAATATTACAAAGATTTCAGAAGAATCAAAATGTTTGGAGAAGAGTGTAGTTTTGACAGATACTGTGTGTTCTGAAGATACAATTATTGCATCAGAAGGAAATGTAAAAGATTCTAGCCTGCAAGAACAAGATACTGTACAATTAACAGGAAAGGGTAATAGTGAAATATCAGAAGCCTTTAGAGAACAAGTTGCTTCAGAGGATAATCCTAGGCCTTTTGTAAGGTCTGAATCACAATTGACTGTAAAGAATCCACTATTAATTAGTACTTCCACTGTATCAGATATTTGTCAGCATGAAGAAGTAAGCAATGAAACAGATAAATGCAACAGTTTAACTAATTCAGATTTGTCAGTGTCCCAGCAAGTTTATGATACACATAGCTCTGTTGATACATCACAACTTTTACAAGTAATGGAAATTAATAAACTCCCACAGTCACCCCAATCACTAAACACTGTTGAGGTCACAAATTCAGAAGACAATTGCCATCTTACAATAAAAAAGCAGCAGAACTGTTTGATAAAATGTAATTATTCAGTTTCCTTACAAAATAATGAAAACGTTGAAAATGAAGGCAGTAAATCATTACTACAGAAATCCATTGAACTACCAAGTTCCTCATCCTGGCAAGAAGGTAAAGGAGATGTAGAGAAGAGTAAGAACAGTTCAAAATATTCTTCATTACGAGTTGATCATGCTTCCCACGCAGAGAGAGAGCTTTCATCTTCAATATTGCCTCAGCACCATCATGAGATAGATATAAGAAATACAAAGGCACATGACACATGTAATGGAAATTCAGTTGAAACATGTCCTTCAGTAGTAGATCAGGAGAAGAAGTCAGTGATGGACCAAACAGAACCTAATGAGATATATTTAGATAAATCACTGACACTGTTACAGTCTAACAGTTTGTATCCTACATTTACTACCACAGGATTGACAAGTCATTGTAATGAAAACACATTTATTCCCATCACCAGCACTTCAACAGATGTAGACAATGGTCCAAAAACTACAGATAATGCCTCATTAAACATATCTCTCCAAAATTCTGAGTTTTCAAGTGATCTTTTTGCTTCCTTGCAAGTGCCATCAAGTGGACAGCACCCAGAATCTATTTCCCCAACTGCAGCATTTCTTCTTGCATTCCCTCTAGTATCATCATCCAAAGTGGCAGAAATGATAGTAGACTCACAGGAAGAGGTTGGTAGTGACAGCATGCAAGGGGGATCCACTCTCCTGCAAATTGGGAACATTGAACATGATCCTTCACAGCACATATCTAAACCTCATCGCTTAGATGACATAAATGAGATAGCAGGGACAAGCGAGGCAGCTGCAACCAGAATACAACAAAAAATAACAACAGTGTCGTCCCCAGGTACTATTTCAGATAGGGATAATGGGAGAGCGATATCTGCTGGGTGCAATGTGCATGATCAGCAACAAACAGTTGTGTGCAGAAACCATGAAAGAAAAACTGAAGAGTCAAATCAGGAGAGCCAAAATTCAGGAAAGTGTTCTTCCAGCATAACATTGCATTTACAAAATTTCTCCAAGAGCAGTGGTAAACAATGGTCAAATGTTAGTGAAGGTAATGTTTTAGAATCTGGAGACAAACTTCATTCCAGAAGCAGAAGCATTGGTACACAATCGAAAGCCTTTAGCAATCTTGAACGGAAAATATCAGAGGCAAATTGCAGTCAGAATTCTTTGCCATCAACTATAAAAACTTGTTCATCCATAGATGCTGGTGTGTATAATATTCAACTGGATGAAGAGAAAGGGAGTACACATACAACTTGCTTTCAGCAGCAAATGGAGACTGGAAATTTGGCAGTATCTACAAATAACATTCCCCAGCATCCTATCTTGAGCTCACATTCACATATCACAATATTCAAATCAGGTCAGCAGCATCAGGAGTGTCACCCTTCATCAGATTTATTCCAACCATCACTCTCAACGTTTGAACCTGTAACTCAAAAGAATGCATCAAATGGAGACAATACTAAGAGATTAACTGTTAGCACCAACACATTTTCTTCTTCTGTTAGCCAGCATATTGAAGAATTATGCATGAAACCACAGACATCTTTTACTTCACAACACAATGGAACTTGTGCAAATATGAATCTCAAACAGACATTCCTTACAAACAAAGAGACTAATCATACATGTGAAAATCTCTTATCACATGCTCAGCCTTCAGGGAGTACAGTTACAAATCACATTGAAAATCAAAACTCTTTTCATAAGATGCATCCTTCCCAAATGATAAGTGAACAAGGTACAATGACAGAAGGATTAAGAGACAATGATGGTTCTGTCAGCTACAAGCCACTTACATCTTCTACTTCAGTAGCTTCATCTGCAGAAGTCATTAAACATAATTTATCCAGCCATACAGCAAAAAATTCTGCTCCAACTTCTTCACATGTAGATAAATGTGTTTCATATAACAACATACAAAGTTCAGTGCCTGCACAACCCTGTTCATATAATCTGTTCAACAATGATTATTCTGCAGTGCCTTCACAAGTAACTTGCACAGCAGTATTTACCCAAGCTTCCAATAGTAGTGATCAGAATAAGATGACAGGTGCTGCATCATTTTCTGTTGCTCATAATTCATCTAATTTCAGTATTTTGTCGTGGACTACTCTGTCACCAATGACTGCACCAAGTAACATTAATCAGCATGAAAACTTTAATGTCCCACCTCAGGGTACATCTACAAACATACCTCTGCATACTCCTACAGCAGCCACTTCACTACAAAAGGTAATATCTCAGAATACTTCCAGTAATAATGGTATAACAATGCCCATTCCAACAGTCAGTGAAATGCAGGGATTAGTCCACAATAATAACTGCCAGAAACAGTGTAAAAATGATATGGATGTTAGAAAATCTATGAATGATGAAATGCACAAATTGACAGAGTCATTTCCAAACTTATACAATAATGAAGAACAGCAATCACTAGGAATGCCACACCGAGACACAGCTACTTCTCACATACAGTTTCATCGTGAAAATAATGAGAATCAGATTCTAGGTCGACAGGAAGAAGATGCAAATAATGAAAATTTTAAGTTTCCAGGGCCTTCTGCTGCTGATATAAAAAATCACCAACCAACAAGAACTAATCACTCAACTGAGAGAATGAAAGTGTCACAACAACATCGACCTCCAGTGAACTGGATGACTACACCAGATATTCGTACAAGCAGCCATGCAATGACTTCAGCATCCTCCTCTGCTACTATTATTGGTCACCCCACTATAAGCAATGCATCTAATACATCAACATCTGTTATGAATTCTGAAACCAGTTCTGCTCAAATTAATAAGGAATTTGAATTCTGTAGTACTACATCAAATCACAATTTATTCATTGGTAATTCCAATGCCACTGCTCCCACATTTGATGGCAGAAGCTTTGTCGGAAATGCAGCATTATATGGGAACCATGTTCTTTCTTCAAATAGAAATTTGTATACAAATAATAGACAGTCATCCCATTTGTCTTGCCATAAGGAAGAAACCAGAAATGTGCATCATAACCCTACCCATCAACGGCTTATGGATTTACCTGTTCCTGGAGAAAATTATCGTAATGAGGCATATTCATTGTCATGGACACCAAGGAAAGTTCCTTTCACATCAGCATCAATGATACCACCTGACATGAGTGGCAACAACTTTGTTCCTTCTACATTGCCAACCTTAGTTGGAGATTTAGCTTTGGGTACTAATTACCCAATGTCTGGAAATGATGATAGTAGCCATAACAAAGCATACATACATTCAAACTTTGGTGATGAAGAAATTAATAAAAAGAATGTGGTGGTTGGCACATTGGAAGACCGGAGACAAGAAATGTCAGTAAGACACATTCCGAGTAGGCATACAGAGAAAGAATCAGGAATAAGCACTGGAAATGTTAGTAATAAGACAAGGAATAGCAACCAGATATGCACTGAAGATTACCTTGGTACTGCTCATTCTGAAGGTGTGTCATCTGAAGGAACTGCAGTAGTGTCAGGAAACTTTCTTTCTGTTAGTCAGTTGGTTGATCCAGTGAAATCAGGTGCTGGATCATCCAGAACACAAGTAAATGCCACAGCGAGGAGAAGCAGTAATAGCAGGCACGTTGGTGGTGGTAACAAGCATAATACACCCCAGACGAGACAGCATGCTGCATCATCATCATCCAACAAAAGGAACAGTACTACACATAATAGCATTGAAAGGGATAGCAACAAGAAACAACAGTTGACAAACATGAGTTTTTCAGCTGCAGAAGGTACCAATGTTATGCCAATATCAGAAGACAGCAGTGGGAAAGCAAATGATGGAAACAGACCTAGTCATTACTCAACAGAAAATGCCACAACTCATATGCCACCCATTTCCCAAGGCAGTACAGGATTTTCTATACCTGTACATGATATGGGGAACCAGCGTCCTTCATCCATTGCTAATGCTCATCACCATTGGTCACCAAATAGAGGGAAACCAGGCAGAACAGGTACAGCATCTTATAAAGCACCTGTAAGCAGTTATTCTGCTGAGGCTCTCATTGGATTGAGCAGTAGCACACTGAATAATGAAGACACAGCTCACCTGTCACAAGAATCAGCCAACAATAAAATTATAACCCTTCCACCTCCATTGGTTTCTGAAAGATTCTGCCATAATCAGAACTATCATCATCATCATCATCAAGCTGCACGATCCCTGCAGATGTCAACATCATTTAGTAATGAAGCTATCGTAGCAGGAAATTACTTTCCACCTGTTGAATTACCGCCATCACATCAACAGGATGGCAGTGGATCAAGCATTCAAACAAGTAGTCACCATGACAATTTTACCCAAACTCATCAAAATCAACAGCCTTACAGCAACACTTCTTTCAGTTATCCAGCAGCTACTGCAAATATGAGTGGACAGGGACCAGCCAGCTTGTACCCTCCAGCAAACTTTGTATCAAATTCAAATGGCGGACACACTAATGCCAGCATTCCTCCTGTCTCATTGCCAACAGGATTCTTGTCTGATCTTACTGGCAGTAATACCTTTACTGGGGCAATAATTCCACCTGATTCAAATAACCCCCTCATCTTCCCATCACCTATAATGAAAAGCGTATCTGTAAATCGAAACAGTAGTGGTCGACATAACCCTTCATATTTACAAGCATCTACATCTGTTTCTTCCCATCATCATCAGACTGGACAACAAATGCCAACAAGACATGACAACTCAATAGGACAAGTGGCAGAGATCAGCAGAAGTGGTAGCACTAACATGACTTCTAATGATGGTGATGGAAACCGAAGGTTAGGTGACCATGCAGGGGGACTTACACTGCACCACCAGACCAATAACTTAGTTTGTAACAGTAACAGCACTTGTTCTTTAACAAAACAACGTGGAAATGGAAGTAGGAGGAGGATTCCGGATCCAGTAGCCTCAACTTCATCATCCAGCTCAGGAATTACAGGTTTAGTTGATTTGGGATATTTGCCTATGCCACCTGGGATTGGCTCACCCATGCTGGGTGCTGATGATGGAGCATTCTTAAGTCACCATACTAGTGGCACATTCCTAGCACCTCCTGGACCACAGTTATACCCCACAGGCCCCACACCAAACCCTCAAGGAACCCTATACCCTCCAACACCTCACCCACCAACCCAGACAACTTCACAAACCAATCATCATTCAGGCAGCCATCTACCTCCATTTTCATCATGTGCCCCAACACAACAAAATGTCTCACTTTCACGTGCCTCACATCATAATCAGCAGCAGCAGCAAGCTAATACTTCACCAAATGCTACAAACACCAGTGGCAACACTCTTGCCAACTTTAACCTCAGCACAATTTTCCCAGAAATCAATGACAAGGTAAGTTGCTTTGCAGGTAGTTTTTGTAATCTTTGCATCAGTGTTAAAATGTGGTCCAGTCTTAAGTCCTTATTTTGTGGAATCATGTGTGTATGTGCCCCTTCTTAATGATATTTGAAGCAAGGAATAGATTTTGATAATCTGGGTATGAACATCATATTGAGTGATATCCCACCTTTGTACCTTTAATTCCGTTCCCTTATAACATCAACACGGCAGCTGCATGAACTTTTAGTGAGAGGGACACTACAACAAATAGGTGATAATTTATCTTCTATATGCAATGGGAAGATTTATTTGTGACTTATCATTACTTTAGATAAACCCTTTGTTTGTATTATGTGACATTTATATAATAGTATGAATTGTACTTTATAATATGTATTGTATTATTATTATGACTTTTCCAACATCCTATTGTCATCTGATTATCTTATGGATCCTTGGACTGTAATAAAGATGTATGATGTATGTACAAGTTACTGTAGGATCCTGAAGTTCTGCTTGGTTATCCAAACATTATGCAACTTTTGTTGACATCATTTTTGTAGACTGAAATAATGACATTGCAGTGGCATGAAATCGTTGTATAGTTTTACAGTTGATAAAAGTACCTATTGAATTATTATAGCTCTGTATGTGAAATTTGGTATAGAGGTAAACATTTTGTGAGATAGATTTTTTTTGTGTTGATAATTGGAAACATAATGACAGTGTGAAACTATGAAGCTGTATTTTACATCTTTTTGGGCAGAGCAATGGACCTGTCGTAAGACAGAACACTTAATAATAATAATAATAATTAATAAATATACCTCATTTAAACTATTGCATTACCATAAATTCAGTTGATTTTAACAAAATATCTAGGGATTGCATGGATAGTGGTACATATTATTTTTGTATGTATTATTTTTCTTTACAGCAAGTTCCATCCATACCTTCTGTTGTTGGGTATGCAAGTGGAACGAAAAACCTGACTCCAGCAAGCTCATCTCTTTTACCATCTTCTAATGGCTCACAACACCATTCTACACTTCTGCAACCAGGTAGCAGTGATGCAGAATATCCACATCGTGTTGTACCACCTCCTGCAACTGTGCCCAGTAACTGCCTTCCACCACCTCCTGTTCCACTTCACACAAATTTTAACAACTTACTGAGCCATGCTCCACCTCAAGTGTGTAGGATGCAGTGGCCATAATAGAGCTGTTCATTTTACAATAATGCAACAAATAATATATGTTAAAATATATTCTTCTTTAACATAAATGTGTTGTTTCCTCTTCAAGCACTGTTCAATAATGCCTCTGTGTGGGTGCTATTTGCAGTACTGTAATATTTACTGTAAATAATGTCAATATTTTACAGATCAGTCAAAAGCATCTATTATAATAATTATATTTAACTTGTACTTTATAGGAAGATACATATTTGACAACATATTTGCGTGACAGAAGTGCATTCATAGAATTACAAATGTGAATCATTATAAACACTTTGTACATGATTTTGAAAGTTTTGTACCTGATGAATGAAATGTAAATATTTCATGAATAAAGGTAGTTGTAGTTTTTAAACTTCCTTTTCTGATCTGTTTAAGGCCAATGAATGTGACTAGCATGAAAATAATTTGAATCTGAGGAAAGAAACAGTATTTTTTTGTAGTGTTTCAAGAATTCAGTTTGTTTAGAAAGTTACCAAACAAGCTGACTCTGCAGTAATACATAATTTTTTCAAGTCCCATATTCAATATTCCAGTGCCAGCTATTCTGCATGAAGTTTTCTGTTATGTCCTAGATTTTCCCCAGTGTATCACAGGTTGTAATTAAGCAACTTCAATGACACAGCACAGTCCTTGAGAAGCCAAGTCACTCAGCTAATCAAGAAATTTGCTGCCTTTTATAGAATCCTAAGGTTCATTACTGTGTTCACAAGAGCTCATCAATGGTCTCTATTCTGATCCAGATAAATCAAGTCACACCTTCCAACCCTTTCCTTAAGATTCAGTTTCAGTATTATTTATGCCTAGGTCATACCAAATGGTTTTTTACTTTGAATTTCCTAACCAAAACCGTGCATGGACTTCTCATTTCTGCCATACTTGGTGGGCCTAAATGCCCTGCACATTTCATCCTCTTCTATTTGATCATCCTGATATTGGTGCAGTTTAAAAATTATTAAGCTCTTCATGCAATTTTCTCCAGCCTCCTGTTACTTCATACCCTCAGTATGTACCCTTAATGTGATAAATCAAGTTTCACACCCATACAAGACAGGAGGTTAAATATAGTTTTGTTTCATCTTTAGTTTTATACAGCACACAGAAAATTGATTCTGTACTGCATGATAGCAGGCATACCCCAAATTTAATTTGCTATTAATTTCTTTGTTAATGCAACTTAATTTGTTACTGTCATTCCAAAATATCTGAACTTCAGCACAGGTGTTATAGACTTAATAATGACTGCCTGTTTGTCACTCCCAGTTAACCATTTGTATTCATCACAATATGCATCCATTTTCAAAAGTCTCACAGCAGGACACAAACTTGTCAGAAAACTAGTTACTGTTCTAACGATGCTAGATCATATTTTCTGTAACTTCATAACAATGCTACAAAGAAGATATGCTAGAGATTATAATTATAAATAATGAGAAAGTCTATGTTATGGAACACTGCAGTTAAATGTTCTTACATTGTGGAGTAAATATCTTGCAGGAATACGAGAGGACAAAGACATGCAAAAGCATCAGCAAGTATGCATGTATGCAAGTCATTCTAAGCATGTAAATAAAGGTTTATTACAATGTATGAATACGTACATAAAAATACAAATTTAAATTCCTACAAATGTTTCAATGTACAAGAAATATTGTATAACAGAATGCTTAAATTTGCATATCAACATGCTTTCTGTGACTAGTTGTACACACTAATTATAAACTTTACTTCCAAAATACTCTTACTTACTAATTTTTAAGCACCATTCAGTATAAAAACATAATTTTCTAAGTTTTTACCATATACACAAAAGAGAGCAATAATTTGCAGAATTAACTAATCAACTAGTGAAGTTACATTTTATAAGGCAATAATCTTTCATGTACATGACACAAAAACATTAGGTTCAGATTAAAACACCTGGTAAAATAGGGGATCAACAGTAGGTACTGAAAGTAAGAAACAATTATTCATGTAAACAGCAGACTATTTCATTTGAACAATAATTTACATTTTCTTCTTCTCAGTACATGGAATTCAACAAGATTTTTTAACCTCTACATTTTTATTAATTAAATATATAATAAACATTGCTTTTATATTCACCATTCTTGAGAATTACTTTAGTTATGCACAACAAATCATCAAATTGCATCATTACATACATAATAGTGCAATATAAAAAGTGTATATATGTTTTACAAAAAAAAATTGTGCAGAAAGTTAACTCTCAAGATTTCTGAAGTTAAAACAGACTGGAAAAAACATTCCATTCTCATATAGAAAAAATAATTTTTAAATTAAATGTTACATTAATTTTAATTTTTTTTTCTTCCAGATATGCCCTTTCTATGAAAAATGAATGTGTATACACCACAAGAGAAGGTAGAACAATTTTAAAAAACAGGCAATTATAAATGAATACAGAAAAATTGATGGAGAAATGTTACACAGAGGTGTAACCAATCTCAGAATGCAGATTAATACAAGTATGAATGTAGGAGCTCAATTCATATATATATATATATATATATAGCCCACAAATGGCATTTCAATCTCTATGAATTATCATCAACTCATACAAATGGAAATGGTGCTACAAATTATTATTATTATTATTATTTAAAATTAAAGAATGTTTACCTGAATTTATAAACTGACAATGCAGTGACACAGAAAAGACTCAAATAAAAAAACAATTCATTTACAAATTACATACTTTTCTCTGAAAATACATGTTCACACAATGCACACTTATCTAACCAATAGTTACTGGAAAATTTCAGGATGGAATTAGCCTCTTCTGTAAAAATCATAACAATACACATGTAGACATCTGTGTTTATAATAGTGTTACTTAAATAACTGCTTAATAAAAAAAAATTATGCTGAATGGATCTCATTGCATAAATTTAATAAGGATAAAAACTATACACACCACAGCACAATAAACTCACTGCAAATTTTGCTATACTGAAACACAATGCTACAAAAATAATGCTTATAATTCAGAGTATGTAAATACACCTCATTAAGATTCAGAACTATCTTACTACTGTGTCATACATAATATGTACAACTGAAAAATGTAGAGAATAATAGTACTGTTCTTTATGATATGCAGAAAATGAAGACTTTTAATCAGAGACAATCTTCTACACTACAGCAATCACACTGCTTTTGGAAAATAGCATTCTTATCTTCAGTCTGGTGGTGACAGAAATTACTAAATATTTGAACACATCCATGACCGAGGCACAAAGAAATCTGAAATTGGATCCTGCAAGTTCAAGAATAGAAACATCAAAACTTCCATAAAAAAATATTGCTAGTTCCTAAGTTTGTTTACTGACAGGAAAGATAAAATATGCAAAGTATGGACTTAAAGTATAGTCAAAATGCCACAGAACTCAATGACACACTATGATACCATTTAATTGGACATAAAATAATACCATCTTGGCAGCAACAATGAAGACAAGGCCTGATATAAACATGTACAATATAAAAGAAAGTAAAGAGCAAGTGATATTTACCAAGACTTGTGGACAGTTGACACGGGCATACCATTCAAAACCATACAGACATGAAAGTATTCCAACACCTACACATAACATGAGCCATACAAAGATGTTCCCACCAGGCATTAAGTCCTTTGTCAAGAATACCATACCAACTGCAACCAAAATTTGATCATTAGTTACACACATAAAATTCAGTCTGAGATTAATAACATTGTTTAATGATTATAAATGATATGATATGACACAAAACTGTTTCAGGTTACAAACCTCCAAATCCTCCAAATGCCAAAAATAGCATTGGATAAAAAAACCTGAAGGTAAAGGCAAGAATGTATTCATGAAAAACAGCTGACACAATAAATACAACTAAAGTTGGACCCAAACGTTTTCCTGGTATCAAAATCTCACTAAAGTCCTTGTAGATGTATGTGTACAGCCAATCATGTACAACTATATTCCATAAACGATAGTATGCAGCATGAGAAGATGCAGTCCACCAATCCTGTAATAAGACAGTTCATTCTATAATCTTTATTTTGCCAGAACATATATTTACAAACCCTAGACATTTTATTAATGTTATATTTAACTGCCTGGAGTAGGTTCTGAAGTGAAGTTGTGATTTGAAAGTAAACACTAAAAATAATTTTGGACTTGGATTTGATTAATTAATTTCCAATATAAATTTAAACTAACTCCCTGGTAGCAGAACCTGCAGGTCCAACACCGACAATACCAAAGCCCACCACCAGACACAATCCTTAGCCAACTCCATCCATTTTCCATTCACATAGCCCACCTTCCAAAGATCCATCTTGATATTATCCTCCCATCTCCTTGATCTGCCCAGAGGTAATTTTCCAGGATTTTCCACCAAAATTCTGTATGCACCCCTTGACACTCCCATGCTTGCCACATGTCCAGCAGATCAGAGCCTCCTCTAAGGTGTTAGCAATAGTTTAGTATGGCTTTTAATATTATGTTTGTCTTCAGTTTTATTTAGAAAACCCACAGTAAAATTCCATCACCAACATTATTATTACCACCACCGTCATTTCCACCAGAGTGGTTAATTCTAAAACATTACCTTTCCTGTTTTCTCTGTCTCTTCACAAATGTTTCGCTTAATCTTGTATATATAATCTCTTATTTGGTCTTCCAGCTGATTGTTTATTCAACATATTAATTTTCAAAACACCCAAAGGAATACCATTTCTGTTAACATCCATATATACTTACTTTAACCAATTTTTTTATGTTTCTACTTTCATATCTTATCTGATATCTTGATTTTAGATTTTACCCCTTCTTGTTCATGTCTTGTTACTCTAGAAACTGTAACTACGGCTTGTAATCCACTTACATCTCCGTTAGTCTTAGAAATGCATACCACACAGAAGAGCAAAATGTGTGTTATGGTTCAAACAGACTAAGAGTGAAGTGGATGATTTAAATGAAGCACTGTCCCACTGCCTATGTTTACATACCTTATAGAACATGCGGTCTGCAAAGCGCATTAGCTCAGCAAAAGCATTCATCCAGGAATGGAGGAGGCAATAAAATCCACACAGCAAAACCAATGTTCCAGGCATCATGCTGCCAAACATTCCTACCACCAGTAATTCAGATAAGGGAGTCTTCTGGTTATTTGGCAGCCCAAAATCATGGTATATTGGTATCAAGAACCGCTCAAAAATGAATGCAACATAAAAAATTACACCAATCACTTCCAAGAAGCACCATGCCACAAACTTCCAATGAATTTCTTTTGTCCTGGAAGGAAAATTAATTGTTTAATGTTCTTGATGAATCTAACATGAACCTGTGTCAGACACCTAGGAATGCAGATGTAGTAACAGCTATTGGAAGCGTGCATGTGGAATATACGGAATACAAATTTCCTACAACAGCTTATATTGAATTAAACCATAATTACAATTAGAAGTGTTTATAAAACATTCAGCATTATACAAGAAAAGAATTTTATAAGAAAAATAGTAAAAGAAGAAAAAACCTACCACCTTCCTGCATGAAAAATATTTTCTCACAAACAATAACTTTTAGGGTAATTAAAACAAACACTATTTAAAATTTGAAGTGGGCAAAGATTTATATTTTTTTTAAACTCAATACAAATTTCTGGAGACAGCAAAAGCCATCCACATATGTGTCCCTGTAATACCTTATTCTCTCACATAATTTTCTTCTCTTCTCTGACAAAATAATACAAGTAGTGAATTTATGTTTGGAAAATGACATTAGTATGAAGTCTTCCTAAAAAAAATAAGGAGACAAAATGCAGGACACAGAAAACTGAGGATGGCAGTTTATTCGTAATTATGACACACATATTTAAGATACTTATTCCCATACACAATTAGAAAAGAAGATCGTTTTCAACTCTCTTGAAACAAATAAATACTGCAAATCAGACCTTTAATACAAAATTTTATTTCTACAAAGTATAATCTTGATGAGCAAAAATTCATACTTTCATCCTCTATTAAGACTATGCATTCAACACTGATTACAGTTGCCATAATACTAGGTTAAGTGAAAAATTTGGTTGAATAAAAATGTATCAGCACAACAAAAAATGAATTCACAGTACTCACCGTGGATAGTTATCTTTATACACAAGAGTTGGAACAAATAAGAAATAGAGAAACTTTGAAAATCCAGGACATGGGGTCATTTCTTTTGAGTCCCCAGACTGATGTGGTTTGTAGACTAGAGCACGTGGCACATTACTCCGCACAAATGCATGAGTCTTCATCATTAGGCGAACCTGAATTGGCAAGAAATATAGCAAAGAATGGAATAGAAGCAAAAACATTGCAACTACAGAATGTTAAATTGGCATTGTGTGATAACGCACTTTATTTCAAAAGCAGAACCACTAACTAAAGAAGAAGCTAAATTACATGTAAATATGGCAAAAAAGATAATAAAATCTAACTAATTTCATGGTAATATACAGTTACCAGATATCTACTCTCCAAAAAATTACCAAGTAACATTTAATTTTTGAACAAAATTCTCTTCATCTGTGAATTTAAGGCTCTGAATATTTTAATGAAAAAGAAAGGTCAAGATGGGTCTTACAGTCAGGAAAATACTGTACTTTTGATTACTTGTAGCAGTACTTATTTAATTACCCACATATTTATTATATTTATGTTATGGAAACAAAGTGATTTTCATTGTATCAATAAACACATTTTTACAGCATTCAGAACTTGAATGTGGTGATATTTCAAAATTATCTCAACATTTGTCACGATACCAAGGAATAGCATGGAAACTTTATTCTCCACATTTTTACACACAATATGTAGCATCATAAATTCTATCATAAAGTTTTGTAACAAATTTTCTTAAATTCATGAACACACTGAATAGTAAAAACATATTTTTCCTACCTGTTCCATTAGCAGAGCCATGGATGATGCTGGAGGAAAGTGACTTTCTATGATTTTTATAGCAGGTACACATAGGAATGTTGTCTGATAGACAACAAGAGAAATGAGCCAACCATAATCCCAGCACTTCCTTCCTAGAGCTGGGAAGAAAAGAAAAGAAAAGAAAGAAAAAAAGAAGCAAAGAGGCCATTCTAAATTTGTCAATTCTGAAATATGCTCCACAAAGCAAACGAATCATATCAACAAGAAAATTCCATTATCTGCAATATAAAGACAGCAAATTGAAGCATGTTATAGAAAACAGCGATCCCTGGTTATAAACCACTGCAAAAAAAAAAATCTTTCCACAAGCAAATGGGTGTGAACATGTTTGTCATGAGTAAATATATTTGACACACCAACATAAATGATATGGATGGAATGCAGGATTGACTTGACAAATCAGGGATAGTTTATTAACACACCAACAATGCCATAACTACAGAATTTATAATAAAGTTTCCAAGTGAGGAAGTACTTAGAAGCAAAATATGACAAAGTAACTCGCAAAACATACTTACAATTTGGTTTCCAACAAATACGTTGTGTGCCCCATAAATTGAAGCAACAAAACAGTAAGATGGTTGAGAATGACATCCCGAGCCACAGGAGGAAAACTGTGGTGAACCCTTGAAAGTTCCATCGAATTAAGTCAATACCCAAATTCAGCCTGCAAACACACAAATTTCCCTCTATTAATCCAAATGTTTTGAATGCCAGTCTTTCAGTATACAAAACTACTTTATCAGCATTATCTTATATCTCCATTATGCAGACCTCTAAAATGAAACTAATACATTTATTTTCACCGACTACTATAAAGAACATGAGATTTATGTTTATCTTGGTGGATGAATATGTCAATCTTGGTCTTCTGGGCAGTAACATTGTATGAACTTGTAGGTAGATACCAATGTTATGGAGAATATATTGTCACCAACATCAGCCTTGATAATGACTAGAGATGGTGACAGTATGTTTCTCTGAAACACTGGTAGCTGATATCATACAAATCCACATGGGGTTACTAACCAGAGAACCAACTATAAAAAACCAACAACACACATATCTCAGTCTGCAGAATTTTGCGCTATGTAATCAGAAAGAGACAAATTTATTTTATATTTAGTCCAGTCTAAATATTTCATAAATGCCATCCTTTGATCACTCATCTAATTCACTTCAAGGGCCACTTTACTTAAGGCCCTAAATGCACTCTTTTTGCCTTTTGGCAAATGTTTATATAATCTGATATATGGTACTTATAATATGTATTATGTGTAAATTTCATTCTGAAATATGTTTTACATAATATTTACAAAACATTTAGTGATTTTAAAAACAAGTACAATACCTATTAAGTCTGTGTTACTGAAATCATTATCCAATTTTCCAGTTAATATTCTATTCAGTTTCCTACACAACAGATGGATCCATGAGTAGATGAATGCACCATTTTAATTTAACTTCAATAGAGTAATCACTCATTCATTAATGACGAATGCATGAAAAAATATGTCTTCAAGAACATAATTATTGCATAAATCAGGGCATACCTATAATTTGTTATGCAAGACAGACTTACTTTCCTACAACCACAAGGTCATAAACTGCTGTATTGATGAACAAAATAATAAGTATGACAATGAAGATATTGTAGATTGCTTGAATGTGCTTGACCTCAAACAGATCAGTGAGGAGAGAATTTCGAGCCATAAACTGTTTTTCTGGCAGACCACCATGTTTGTTAGGTTTTCTGAAAACAAAATTAACAAATAATAGATGTTCATATCATGAAATCACCTACTTAAAACCAAGAAAACTCTTAAATGAAAGAATGTTCATTGTGATCTTCTGGGTTGTGATGCCATAGAGTACTGTGTCTCAGTATAGTCTTTCCAAACCTTACGCGGAAGCAACAACTGGACATGACAGTGAAGATAATAATGATGATGACTGGCAAAGAAATACTTACAGTTTAACATGTTATTCAAACCTTGGTATTCCCGACATAAAGTTTAGACTTCATCACAGTCTAAAACATAAGAAGTTAAAGAAGGCTGGAGAAACGTGCACAATTAGGAGCCTCATTATTTTAATTCCCTGCCAGATAAAATAAGGATGATCAAATCAAGAAGAATGAGTCACGTGGGAAATGTATAATTCATTAGAAAAATGAAAAATGTGTACAATATTTTGGTTGGAAACCTTGAGGGGAAGAGTCCATTCAGAAAACAAAGACATAGATGGGAGAATAATGTTAAAATGGATAATAGGGAAATGAGACTGAAGAATGTGGATTGGATTCATCTACCTCAGATAGGAACTGCTGGCAGGGTCTTATAAACATGGTAATGGATCTTTTAATTCCATAAAAGGTGGGGAATTTCTTGACTAGCAGAACATAGTATTGATTTGTCATACAAAATTCAGCACCATGAAGGGAGTTAACTTGTTAAGGGAGGGTCTAACACACTGATACTGATGAACTCAAACCCAAAAACCTTCTGCACAGGTCAGTGTTCTAAGAATACTGCGATCCCTGTACCCTATGAAACATAATCTTGTAAAAACTAATACATGAAATCATCATACAATAAGGTACATTATAAGAAATAACAACAAAACTATATCCTCTTCACTATCACATAAAACTACAAGGCTGAAACACAATGAATGTATCCAAATTTGTATAATAAAAGTAGTAAATGCAGCAAACTCTTTTATAGAGCTTCAAAGCATTTCAAAATAATTCTTTATCTGATAAGTTTGATAATTTCTATTATCATTAGAAATGACATAGAACAAAGGCTAATAAGTCAAGTTATACTTACATTCTGTTTTTATATTTATGTCCATCATCAACTAGAACATATTGATGCTGAAGGGAAGCATCAGACTGCTCCAACTCCTGAATCAGTTCACCCATCATACCAGATAACCTCTCATCAACTTCTTCAACAAGATTGGCTTGCATTCTCTGTGTAGGGTTATAAAAAAATTAAGGAGTAGTTCAATGTAATGCCTTTGTAAATAAAACTCTGGACTGTGATAAGGTAACATTATCATATTATTTAGAAAAACAGTAACATGATAAGAACACCTGTAACAATAAAAAAACAGAATTAATTAATTCCATAGAGCAGAGTCCTTTTTCAGGAGTAACAGTCACTCAGCTAGTCAAGAACTTCCACTCTTTCATGGAATGCAAAGGTTTATTACCATGTTTATAAAAGCAGCCATTGGATCCTATCCTGAGCCAGGTAATCTATCCCACAGCCTCATAACATAAGACATAGTTTAATATTTCCTTCCAATCACACCTAGGTCATCTAAATGGTCTCTTCCCTCTAGCTAAAATTCTGTATGTATTTTTTCATCTCCACCATGCAGGCTACATGTCCTACCAATATCCTCCTCTTTGATTTGGCCCCACTAAAAAAATTTCCATGTAGGTAAAGCATACTCTTAGAGCTGTAAAATTTAGCATAAGAATCCTTATTTGAATATGTTCTGGAAGTATGGAATGGTGCAACATATCGGATCTTTTGCATAAAACATGAAATAAAAAAAGAACAAAGAAAAATCTGATGCTAGCAACAAAGCTGCCTCCTCTCTCCACTATATTTCTATTCAAGCACCTTTTTTCTACAAAAAAGCTACTGCTTATGCATTCAGATAAGTCACAGATACCCTGAACTTTCATTTCATTCTAATTTAAAGTGTTTATGAATAGACCATAAGGGCTTCTTCACAAAGAAATGCATAGTCTGGAAAATATCCATTATTCGGACACATTCGCCTGCATAGAATATTACTCTACAGAATTTGGTTACAATATTTATTAAAAAATATTTATGATTATCATTCAGCATATTATATAGTGTTTTTTTTATATTTGATATATTTTAGGCACAAACCTGCACTTTCTCACGAAAATTCAGTACAGACATTTGTTTAATTATGTTGGGATCAATTTCTTCACTTGCTGAGCCAGATACTGAAACAAACAAAATATGTTACTGCTTTTATCTACTAGCTGAACAATGTTTTTGTGTTAGCTGAATCCTTTTTCTCTTCAAAAAGAAGTGGCCTAATTCCATTTGATCAATGTATGGTTCAAAAATTGAGGCAACAATTCAGAAAGAACATCAAGACTCTCCTCTACAGTTCTGTTAACTTACTGCAGAAGAACTCATTGGTTAGCAAAATTCCACCACTCTCACTTCACTTTATTTTTGAAACACTCATCATTTAAAAGTACTTTTTTCTCAGACATATATTTACACAATTTTCCCCTTTTTATGACATACAGATTTCCCCTCCTGAATAAAGACTGTAGAATCAATGAACTGTTATCATTCATTTACCAAGTTGATGTAATACCATTACTGGAGTCACATCATTCTGTTATCATGCAAATGGGCATACAATTTTTAGTTGTTAAAATGTGTCTTCAATAAAATTTAAATTTACATCCCATATCTTAGCTTTTAAAACAAATTATAGTTTGTCCCAAAATAATAAATAAATACAATTAAGTTTATAGTTTAGATGCGTCATGTTTATGTTTAAAATTCAAATATATATTTATTATTCAAGTCTATACACAAACTTTTAAATTGTTGATGTTAAAATTTAAAATTAATATTAATATTCTGCGCCATTCATCGTTATCTCGATGTTACAATATTGCGCTTTATACTACTACATGTTTCAATGTCATAGCATCATCTTCAGGTTTTTTATCTTTAAAACTACTCTATATTTATTAATGCAAGCTTTTCATTGATTGTAGATGTAGATTACTGTTGTGGTTGTTCCTTTGACCTTCTTATTATTTTGCATATTCTGTTGCATATTATGTTAGTTGTTCATTATTCTGTGAAATTATCAACAATATAATTAACATTTGAGTTATTAATATTATTTATATGAAAATGAGTACTAACATAATATGCAAAATAATAAGAAGATCAAAGGAACACCCACAACAGTAATCTACAATCTACAATCAATGAAAAGCTTGCATTAATAAATATAGAGTAGTTTTAAAGATAAAAAACCTGAAGATGATGCTATGACATTGAAACATGTAGTAGTATAAAGCGCAATATTGTAACATCGAGATAACGATGAATGGCGCAGAATATTAATATTAATTTTAAATTTTAACATCAACAATTTAAAAGTTTGTGTATAGACTTGAATAATAAATATATATTTGAAATAAATACAAGTTTCTCGGTAATGGAATGATACATTGCATCCACTCTGAATAAAATGATCTGACAACTTGAAGAAACGTAAAAAACCTGTTGAACTCTACTGAATCATATGGTTGTCTCCTGGGATGCTGTGCCATGTAGTCTGGTAGAAGCCACTGACATTTCAGAGGTGCTTGCTGCTTCCATCATCATTGCCCTGATGATGGAGGCGGCAGGCACCTTTGAAACATCAGGTACACATATACCAGACAACATGGTACAACAACCTTGAGGACAGTCAACTTCATACACAATGCCATGAGAACCTGAAATCTTATTTCCTCAACTTTATTTTACAAAAGCATGCTGTCCACTCCCTTAAGAAAACAAAGATTATGACAACTGATAAATTCTGATAATGTGAAGTTGAACCCAGAGCAATAATTTTATAAAAGCATACCTCTATTCTTGAGTCCATCTTTCTGTAACAAATGAATACTAGCTGGGGTCCCGTTTTGCATTTCAAATCAGTTCTGCTGATAACCGTCCAGAAGCGGTATGCTTAATGACAGTTCCTCTGAAACGATCAGTCACACATTACACGCCCTCAAAGGGGCATGCTTGCACTATAAACCGGTCCTAACCCATGCCATTGATGACCACATCCTTTGGTGCGTTCAGAGTACATGTGTACGCAACGGAAGACAAAACCACGTGATTTATCAGTTGGTTAAAGGGTTGCAACATACTGTTTATTTCGTAATCATATTTGAACGGTGACGAAAAGCTGATTATTCTTATTGTTTGGCACATGATTTTCTGATTGAAATGTGGGAAAATATGAGATACATAGAACAGTTATCTGTGCACTGAACATAAATTAAAATGCAAAGAGTAATTTGTAATAGGTGTAAGCTTAAAGGCGATGTACAGTATGCTACATGCGGCATGGGATTTCCATAGCATGAATAATCCTGCTCAGTTGCATTTCTGACGAAATATTACACATATTCCAGTCAGTAATATTACTACGGTTTATTACTCTACTCTGAACACGTAGTCTTCGACTTTCAAGTTGCAAAATATTAATGAGATATCATGCTGTAAAAATACATGGAAGTGTATTCTTAACAGGCACTAGATGGCCAGCTTCACGCTCTGGTCGCGTTATCCTGGTTGAAAGAGCTCTCGGTACACATTGAGAAGGAGAGTGGGTGAACCCACAGCTGGTCTGGGCATGGTGAAAAAGAGAAGAATCCTTAAATCTACCAGCAATTGAACCATGGTTGGCCAGCTCATAGCTGGATGGGATTTGACTGCTGGCAGGAGCAGGGATTTTTCTCTATGCCATCATGTCCAGATTAGCCCTAAGACTCCCTGTCGTCCTTATTCAAAATGTACATGGGGGGAAGAGTGACCAGGGCATGGAGCTAACCACTCACAGGCATAGAGCTTAATTAAAGTACAGGGGCATAACAGAATATATTAAATAATGCACACTTCACACAACAAAATTCACCCCTTAATTTGCATTTATTTAATTTTAATATAAATTATATTATAAAATTTAGCAGTAAATGTTTGTAAAAGTTATTAAAATTCTTGTTCTGAGTCTGTAACCCATTACAACATAATCACTGTTTATACAACTTTTTGTGATAGTTTCATTCCTACTTGTTTATATAGTTGAAATGCAAATGAATACAGACCATTTGGTACTTTATTTATCATTTTGCTAGGATTCACCATAGGTGGTCTACAGTTTCACTGAAGTCATGGCAGTTTGCACTCAGTTTTTACCAGTCTTCTGTTCATTATCTTCATTATTGGTATTAATTTAGATTAAATCAGTATCTTCACAAGAAAAAGATTCCCAGCCAAAATTCTAGATTACTTTTTAGCTGATATACTGGAAGCAGGAAGATGAGACATTAAATATTAAACATGAAGATAAGCATACAAAGAAATGGGGATAGGTGGTGAACAAAACGTTATAAAAGACTGGAATAACCTTTAGACAGAGATACAAAACATAAATATAAATACTGTAAACACTTATGATTACATACAAATTCCACAACTAAAGAAACAAATGTGTAACTGACAGCTATAAACATAAGGTCACTGGTTATAACACATTCCATGTTAAGATTGAAAGGCCATGGTAATTCTCAGAAATTTAAGGCACATTTTTAGATGTTATGGGTTTTAATACTTACTCATCTGAAACTCTTTCCTAAGTGGACTGTGGGAAATTAATTGTAATTTATACAAATGAGATGGAATTTCATAATATATATAGATTCAATGAATAAAGATGATGGAGGCAGCAAGGACCTGTGAAAAGTTGGTATACTTCTACCAGACTATATGACACTACAACCCAGAAGAGAGCCATCTTCAGACTCCCTGCCATGCAAACCTCAAATCCTACAATTAGACTTTAATTCAGAATACCCCCAAATTTCAGAACTATTATTAACAGATAAAATGTATATGGCCTCAAAGATGTAACAAAAATTTGCTATTAGAGGGTAATACAATTTATATTAGAGAAAAATAATAATATAAACAAATAAATGGAAGCTGTTATGCATTAAATGTGAACTGACACATCAAGTATTTTAAAATTGCTCTAATTCACATATAAAGCATAGATAATGATATAACAATGAAAATTATTTTTTGACAAACACTTATATATGTATCAGATAATTATAAAAGAACATTAACATAACCTTACAACCATAAATACTCAAAAAATTGAAAGAAAATATACTGGGGATACTGGGAACGACCCGTTCTTCAAGTGCTTGAGAACTGCAGGTCTCAACTTTTCATTAGCTTGATCTATAGACATTCGGTAAGACTCCTTGGATGAGAGATCAGCCCGTCGCAAGGCCTCTACCTGTACACAGGACAGCACAACACAGAAAAACGCGGACAAACATCCATGGTTTGAGTGGGATTTGAACCCACGGTCTCAGCGACCAAGCGGCACAAGGTCCACGGCTCAGACCGCGCAGCCACTGCGGACACCATGAAAGAAAATATAAGGAAATGAATTTCATAATTAGAGTGATTGCTGTGCAACTCATATACTAAATACAATTCAGCATTTCAGGCAACAGCTACACAGCGTGCAATTCAAGCTTTTGACAAGAGACAATGTCTTACCATAATCTTCTTTTAACATTTCTTATGTTAATGTTTCCTTAAATGTTACTTTACAGAGAAGTAACTTCCCTGCAATTATAGAAGGTCAGATATCGTAATGGAATTCCAAGTACAAGGAATATAAGATAATATTTTGAACAAATTTCCTGAACAAAATTTCTTTCAGTTAATGGTGAATACACAGTATAAGCCTCAGGTCAATGATATGAGGATAGCAAGTTTATGTAACTACTGTGAACTGATAACCTCACCAGATGCCCCATGTCCTTTCAATTTTTAACTAACCAGATGTCAAAGATCAAATGTAAGGATAATAATTAAACTTATGGTCTTATTTTGTATAAAGTAAATTAAATGTGCAGATCATTGCCTTAAGTGCACTTTCAGGAAGTCATTTCCATGTTTCTTCAAAATAGGAATGCATTAGAACTAGTGGATCATTATCAGTATTATACATTTTTATTAGTAGGAGATATTCAATATAATGTCAATGTTGAAGGACCTCTAAACCAGTACAAACTATCACCTTAACTATGTAGCAAGTATTACGCTAATTTATAATGCACATTGAGACCTGATGGAGGGCTGAACATTAGTTTCACTTGCTGCTCACAGTTTCCAGTAGTGACTGTGCACTGCTTGAGCAGTCTGAGACTAGTATGAGTTTTGTTATCACACTATATGAACTGCTTGAGCAATGCCAACACCCATCTCTATTTTCCTATCATACCAGATTCATAGCATATTCCAATTCTATTCTGCAGCCTTAACTGTATACATATAAAAAGGCTAATGATTTATACCATATATAAGAAAAGATTCTTATTGAATTTGGTATACCAAAGAAGCTAGTAAGTCAAATAAAAAAGTGCTTAAATGAAAGCTGTAGCAAAATATTTATGAGTCATTCTTATATTTACAATGCAGATATTAAAATATATAATCAATGGCCATTTTAAACAGACAGCATTAAGCATTATAATGGATCATCATCTAAAAGTGTTATATGAAGAGACAACCACCTACAAGGTGAATGACAAACAGAACAAGGGCTACAGAAGTGGTTAATGAGGGATGGTACAGCAGCTTTCAAAGGCGAGTCTGGATAGATGGAAGAAGAAAAACCACAGACCATGTAACTGTATTGTCTTAAATTTATTCTAAGTAAAAACAAGGAAAATATAATTAAAACAGGTGATCTCAGAATTCAAAAAGAAGTGGAAAACATAAAGTGTTCTGCCAAATCTTTAATTTATTCATGTCTCATCAACATATATGCCATTTGCACATACAGCTGTAACAGCAATAATATTCTTTGAACAGTATATTTGCTAAGTGTGTATCAGTACCTTTCACATTCACTTAACTCACATACAAATGTCATGTGAAAGAAAATATGGATGCATAAAATTTGTGTAGTCATATATCAGCATGCCACACACAAATATTGGTATTTTATTTATATATATTATATTAGTCAAAACTGATTTAAGTGACATTAAATGCTATACAGTAAACAAAACTAATTAATCATTATGCTTGCTTACATCAGTGACAATGGAAATATATCTTGTATAAAAAGTTATGACAGCCTGAAAAGTTCACTTATCTAAAACATGGTGCACATTCAAACAGTCTGTAAATCCTTTCATGTTTACCAATTAAACTGGAGTCATACACACCAACCTTCATTTGACGATAATTCACACGGTGTATAGAAACTAAATTATTTAGAAATTACAAGAATCCATTGACCATCAGTCATTGTACCCAACAGAAACATATGGAATGCACTTTTACTGTGGATATTTTGTGGGATATATTTTATGATAATAACAATAATTACGGTCCATTCTGCTTTCTCTCTGCTCCTCAAGGAAGTGGTTAGTGGACTGACTGATTGATAATGGAGCTCTAAGTAAGAATGTACTTTAATTTGATATTTTACTAAGCAGATACGGATACTAATTCTAATTTTAACTACATTTTATACAGATACAAATTTCAAGAAAGTAAAATATAAATAAATCTTGCAAATGAAAAAAGAAATAATCCCCAACTTTAAATAATTTGTTCAGTAAACTGACATAACCTTTATCAACTATGTGTTGTGTCTTTCACAAAATCCAGTTGGATGTGCATTGCTCTAGCATATGTTTTGCTTCAATCTCTGGAGTTAAGTCTGGCTAGCAGCCCATTAGTACCAGGGTTTAAATCCTTTATTACTGAATGATAAAGGTTAATTGGATAATGCTGCTGCTATGTTGCAAAATACTTCAAGAACAAGCAGGCATAAAATTTTTGAATAAATAAATCTTGTAAATAAAAAACCAAGTAAACCCCATCCTTCAAGAAATTGTTAATAAACTGTTTCAAACAGAAATACTACTGCTATAATGTAAAATATATTAATGTACAACCAGACATTATTATATGATATTACAATGTTGCTTTCAGACATTCACACAAACACACTTTCTATAGAAATGACATATTTTTATATTACTACATGCTGGCAGTATAATTCATTGTTTTAAAATGCACTGGAAGAGTACTATTATTCACTTTTGCTTTTTGTATCCTCTTTATAGTGCAGGAACAAAATACTGAACAAGAAAACACCAACCATCATGCTGAATGCACTGAAATAATATGGATAGGCGCTCGGAATGAAACGCTCATATTCCGTATGCTGCAAAGGTCGAACAGAAACCTGCAAGATAATAATAATAAAAAACCAGTAAGTTATTAACTTTTATTAGTTTACTTCAAAGTAAATATAAACTACAATCAGCTTTCAAAAAGAACATGAAAGCTTGTGAAGTAATTTGCATTACATTCATACTTTGCACTTGATAGTATTTAAAGTAACTGTTTCAACTGGTAACCTTCTTGGTTTCTACATGCTGGCAAATGCTATAAAACAAAATATTTCAAAGTTACAATGCTCCAAGGTCTTTTCCATAACTTCATTTCTGAATGTGCTGTACTCCATTATAAGGTTTTTATATAGGCTGTATAAAACCCAACATACAACTGGCTCTTAGTTGGTTAATGCACAGCATACATTGTGGCAGCACTATATTTTTATACCGAATGCTTAAAAGAAGACTGGCACAAAACACTTTCGTAAGTTATAAAGGCTAAGTAAGTTTAAAAATTCAGAGAATGAACATTAACCCTGTGTGGGTGTGGGCATGAAAGTGTACAGAGGTAGGTAGGTAGATTGACTGACAGATAGGTTACATCGGTGGTGATAGGAATGACTGATGAAATACCAACATTCCTCCCAATTTAAAGTTATTTGTTCAAAGTCAATCCTGTAATTACAAACATTATTGAAAATGTAGGCAGGGTTATAGATGTGATATTTTGTCATGGACATTATGTAAAGAAACAACTGATGTAACCTGCAGACTCACCAATTTAAAATTTCACCTAAACCCACAGAGTGTCTGCTGTCACAACAAATGATATTTAAAAGATTACTGGTCCAAAGTAACATGCATGGGAGGCTGCTTCTAAAGGTACCATACTCTCCAAAGATACAAGGTATTTTTATGAATACCAGTATTCCCTTCAACTTTCATGATCAAAGATGAGTGAAGATATGACTTTCAGTGCATGCAAAATGTTCCTGTAGCCTAATTAAAGTCTGGTGATTCACATTTGTAATAGAAGAAAATCTCAATTAAATGAAACATAAAGAGAGGAAAATAATATACCACTACAACACAGAAATTCCTAGTCACAAGAATTCAGTACATTAGGCATGAACTTATCATTGTCCCTCACCTGTGTGGTACTGAAGAGGTGCGTGTATCCAACACGATTATAGTCCACCTTGAACTGGTAAACACCATATACATCAGGTATCTTGAATCGTGCTTCATATTTGCCACCCTGCTTTCTCTTGAGCGTTGTGCGTACAAATGGGTCAATGCGAACAAATTCAAGCTGTACATCATCTGCATCATATGGAACCCACATTCCCTTCTGAAGTTTCTCAATCTCAATTGTGTATACCTTTAACAATAAATAGAATGAAATGTAAGAAGCACTGAAATTATATGGAAGTTTACAGTTTTAGTATCATTTGTTTATATTTAACTTACATGCATGTTTTTGGCATTCCCTATACTCTTGTGTGGACAAGAACACTTTATAGGCCTGTCCATGAATGTCTGTTATGCTTTTCAACAAAATGGGCCCAGACATCATTGTTATTTTTATTGCTATTCCAATTTCTATTGTTGCTCTTAATCCTACTGTTATTGCATTTCTTAATATTACTGTCATCCCTACTATTATTCTTATTCTTACCATCATTCTTATTCCTATGGTTTTTATCAGTGTTCCTGTCAACCCTATTATTACTGTTGCTGGTACTTCATAATTGTTTTTATTAATGCTTGCCTGTAATTTGTTTTTCAGCTATTGTCAGGCATGTTAATAAATGAACTGAACTGAGATGAATTATTCAATAATAACACATGTGAAATATTAGTTTGTTGCAAACAGCACACCCTTCAAATCTTGTTTCATTTCTCATAATGCCTAACATATAAGCTTTCAAGTCTGACATAATGTAAATCGCAGTGCCCCTAGTGAATGTGTTAAACAGCTAATTATTTTAGGCACATTCTTCATAGTACTCACAACTGTCTCCATAATAGTGTAGGCTTGGGGTGGGACTTTTTCTCCTGGACGGTGGTGGGAAACAGATTTCACCTGCAGGACACCATGTTCCTTGAACACCCACTGGCTGAGGGCAGTAGCCACTTGCTGGTTGCCAGATATATTATACTTCTTCCCACCCTACATAGTGTAAACCACCATAAAGTTTAGTCAGCTCATGTTATGCAGAAAAATAGGAAAGAAAAGAGAGCATAAAAAGTTGAATGGAAGGAATGAGGAGAAATACAAAATTAGAAGAACAAAAAATTATATAATCCACACTGGAGGATGTAAGGATACAAAGACATTCTACAAGGAAATTGAAGACTGAATATTGTACCAATCTCCAAATTCTGCAAATCAGTTTATCATTGGTACACAGTCAACTTACCATATTTTTGCTTCAGTAACACACATAGGGAACTGACAGTTGAGAAATCATTATTAAACAACTCAAGAATCATAAATCTAGACTGTGATGTAAATGAGTATTTGTTATATACATACCAACACCTTTTGAACAGGTGATGTAAAAGCTTCATCAGAAAAGAAATACAGTGAACCAGAGAATACCACACGGGCATTGTTCCTAGCTTGCAGAGCAGCAATGAGTAGCATATTACGCCCAACCGCGTGTGGATACTGAAAGAACAACATTAATATTATATTTCTTGCTGCATAACAATTACATACCACTAGTGTTGAAATTCAATGAGGAATTAAATTCTTTCATACCTTAATACCTCATCCACTGTCTTCCTTTCCTTTATCCCTTCTGCACATTTATCTCCTTCCCTCCTTTCTGTCATATTTCTTCCTCATACCCTTCACATCTCAAACTCTTCAGCACTTCTTACAGTTCCTTGTTATCAAATCTCTCTTAATGACTAACATAGTCATTTCTAATATTAAGATGAACTTGTTAATATATCAAAAATATTGCTCAAAAATGCTCTCACAGAACAATAAAAAAATACTGGCTGTGCCATGTCAATATTTTTCCCAACGTCTGTATCCTTTCAAATTTTTCCCATCTGAGCTCAAGAAAACACAGCTCAGTCAGTACAGTAACTGGCTACAGACTGGACAACTGGGGTTTGATCCCTGACGGGGGCAGAGGATTTTTCCTCTAGCCTCAATGTTCAGACCAGTTCTGGGGCCCATCCAGCCTCCTATCCAATGGGTACCAGGGCCCTTTCCTGGGGGTAAAGTGCAGCCGGGGCGTGATTCTGACTTCTCACCCACCATCTAATGCCGAGGTCAAGAATGAGTAGAAGCTATACCTCATCTCCCCTCAAGCGCCTACATGGCATATAGTGGGATAGCTTTTTACATGAAGTAATAACCTATAAAGAACACCACATATAAAGATGGCTGTCTTCTTGGTTCTAATCATCTTCATGATGGAGGCAGCTAGTTACACAGTATAACAATCTAGGACACAGCCATTCTTATACTCACTGCTGCGAGAACCTGATATCTTACAACACCAAGTATTTCAACCTAACAAATTTGTCGGTAATAAAGCAACACTCATCTTACATCTGTGTCTGTGGTCTCATCACATTTCTTGCAATACCAAATATCATCTCATAATCCATGCCATCATGTAATTTTCACATTCACATTTAAATACTAAATCCCCACATATTCATGAATTTAATTCTTGTGTATAAAAGAAAATGCATCATGATCTGTAGCATGACCATCATGTGAAAGGCGAGATGCTGTGCAATACCAAACATGCTGCATGACACAATGATTCAGCTAAAAAACATTATCTCTTGTTCTGTATAAGACCTATCAAATTTTTCAGAGAAAATGTTTCATATCTTATATCTCATACATAGCAACACATTTTCCATGAAAAGTCATTTTTGTCTATTGTCATGTGATCCATGCATCCAAACGCTTGTTCACACAGACTCAAAAACACATGGGTAGAATTAACAGGAAAAAGAACTACAAAATTACAAAGAAAGCACACTTTGAAAAAATGCACAACTTATGTACTGCAGTATGGTAGCTTACCTCCCTGATAGGTTCATCAGGAACATATGAGTAAGCAGAGCTGTGAGCTGACAATATTTGAAGTACTAATGGGTTGTCTCTATCAGCTACCAATCCTGTGCCTTGGTAAAGCAGTGGTGCCACAGTATGGACACCAGTAATCACTGGTGCCTGAATTAGGTTTGTAGGTTCAGCTACAATAAGGGTATGCTGTAACACAGAATTGTCAATTACTATTGTAATCTTTTCCAAACATTATTAAATTTCTCTCATAAATTTGTGACAACATATAATTACAAGTAAAATTACTGATTAATATATGAGAAAGTGTAATACTTTAACAAACTTCCTGCTCATCAAACAACCATACATGTTAAAAACTGATGCTAAATTCATTAACAAAACACAAATTATTCCTGTATGTGGTTCTCAAGTCCTTTCTACCTAACGAAAACCTTGATGAAATATATGTAATATTTGGTAATTGTATGAAACCTAAACCCTGTTTATTCATTTTCAAAGACTGTGACAATTGGTAAAATGGCAGGTATCTTTTTAGTAAGTCATTTATTTTTGTACATACCTTGCCTAGATCACTGACATCATAGTGGAGATGATCTATGACAGATGCTCCTTCCTCATCTACCTCAAAACCAACCTCAGATGCCAACTCTCGCAGAACATCTCCAGAATTAGAGCTTCCAGCAACAAGGACATTACCTGTGAAAGGACATTTTTATGAAACTGTGGAATGTTATACATGCTGTTTTTCAGCTTACAAAAACCACCACTCCACCAAACATGACAGCTGAGCCATTAGCACACATGCTTCGTATTTGGGAAGTTTAAATCTTGGCTCAAAGATTGGCTATTGTGACTTACAACTTTTTTTTTCCTCAGTGCCTCCAGGCAAATGCTAGGATAGTATTTGATAGTACCATGTCCACTTCCTTTCATATAGTTTTTAATTCATTCAGTCATTCTACACTGTTGAGTCTGAGCTAATGACAGTGTCATTAAATAACCCAAAAATAAATAAACTCCATTCCCATTTTGCCCACTTACCTCCACCATCAATAAATTCTGTTATGGTCTCAACACTAACAGATCCGCCAAATTCCTCAACTGAAGGTGCAAAAATAATGAGATGCTCATACAAAAATTCACCATATTTTGAAAGGACAAGACTTGCATCATCAGCTGATTTAAAAGTGAGCAAGTACCCTCTTTCTGTAAATAAGATGAAAAATAGGTTATTATAGAATTACAAGGATCTGATTAAAGTAGTGAGTAGCACATTGGACAACGGTTTTTAGAAGATCTAATCAGTATCATTTAAATTTAAGACGCTTACATTAGAAAAATAAAAATAATTCTAAAAGTAAAGTGTTCATAAAACCGGCAAAATTTATACAAATAATACAACCAACCTTGTAAAGATTTAAAGAACATCGAATGTGTTTCCTTAATTGCAAGATTATCAACTAGCACTAAAGTGTCTCCTCCAGCACTTACAATGGAAATAATCCCAAAAAATATAACAAATATTGTCCACATCGTCCTATACAGCACCATATTTTGCCTCATGGCCACCATCAACATTTTAGATAACCTACACGTTGGCTGGTCATTATTGGTCCCTTTGAACCATAGATAATTGAACACAAAACAAGGAACGTGAGCTCTGTGGAGTTAACAGAAGGAACGACAACAAATGTATCCGGTTTGTATTAATTTCCGCTATTCAATCGTCAGTTGTGGCTGTGTGGTCTAAACATTTAGAACGTGTGTTTTGAAGTGAATTTTTGTGATTGAAGGCAGGATAATGAGTGAGGTGCCATGTATAACTTACATGGCACTGTACATTCTTTCATTCCATATACTTCAGAGCAATTCAAGAACCTCAACTTTATGGAAACTGAACATCGAAGAAGGCAAAATTGTGGAAGCTAGTCATTTTCCCAGGATTGTCACCTTGCCTGGAATGTCCAGTGACCATGTTACAGATAGTGATCAAATATTCAATATCATAGCTTCAACAGTACATTATGGAAGAACCTGGACAAAACAGAGCATGGAATACTACTGTACTGAGTGTCAGGCCATACACTTTAGTATAAATAATAAGTAAGTTTATCTTTGTACTTTCTACTCCAACATTTAAGAAAAGGGACAATTTATAACGTAGAGTTTTATGTTAATTTTGTTACTGTTTCAGATTGGAAGGTAAAACATTAGAACGAGGTAACAACAAAACTAATTTATTTCAAAATGAATGGAATTCAAAAGCTACTTACTCTGAAACTACACATCAAGTCAATCATGAAAGTGATGAATATTTAGACTGTGGAAAATCGGTTAATTTTACATATTATGACCTCCTAGTTGGGGTGGCAAATAGACATAATCATCCACATGTACCTGAACCACAAGTAGCCATGATTTTCAAAAAGAAAGGCACAAAGAGTACAGAATTTGATGTCAGTGCACTAGAAAGAAAATTAAAGAAAGCAAAGAGAGAGGTTTGTAACAGTTGTTTGTTTTAATTAGATTCTATGTAAAAGAGTTTGTTACTATAAATAAACAGGAGAAATTCCTGTTACTTCCTCATAGTCATACATATTATTGAAAATTTATATTTTGTTCTCTGGCAGAAACCGAAGTCAGTCCAGCTTTATAACCAACTAGGGAATTTCTGGCGAATAAAAGGTGATGCTCAGAAATCAATTGAATGCTTCAGGCGGGCACTTGCAGTTTCACCACATAATGCAGAAGTAAGTGATCAGTTCAATACTACAGTAGTCCAGTTTATGGATTGTATTTGCTGTTCATTTATTAATCAACAGTTGCTGCAAGAGGACTCCCATAAGCTAAGTTAGCACAGCCCAACCCAATCTAACTAGGAAGGAGCACTTTTGTGGCATAAGGAATTGTCATTTATCATGAAATGTTGGGGGACCCATGCTATAATCTTTACTTTTAACTGGTGTGGCCTTCATTGACTATATTGAACATTCCCATAATTTCAAAAGCAGTTCTCATTATGCGAGCACATCCCACATTAGAAATATTATGTAAATTTACAGAACAGGCAGCCAAACAACAAGAGAGGTATTTCATGTGTAAAAGAATGAAGGTGAGGGAAGAATGCTCCCTGTAGCATCCACTTATATACTTTTACTCATGTGTTTTTATTTATTTTTAGGTTCTGCTGAATTTGGCTAGGGTGTTATTTAACTTACAGTATCTGGATGATGCCATATATCTCACTAGAAGATCTCTAGAAGTTCAACCACCTGATAAGAATGCTTGGCGACAGTACTTTACTTTAGGAGAAATATTCAAGGTACTGTTCATATATATGTTGTGTGTGTTTAAATACATTGTCAATAGCTTAGATTATATTACACTGAATAGTAAGATGATTGCTAAGTAATACATTGGAAAGGTTGCAGAATTTAAGGTAATGTCTCAGCATTTGCTTGGAAGGACTGATGTCCGCATTCAAAAATGATCATAACATTTGTTGAAGAGTCAGATGATGAAGATGTGCCATCTCCTTCATCCTTCCTACTATAAACATATTCATTTTCAAATTTGTATTCACCAATCACTATAAGCAGTCCCGCGCCGTAGCTGCGCGGTCTGAGGCATCATGCTTCGGACCGGCGATACGGAATGCGCGCTGGTTCGAGTCTCGGGGGAGAAGAAATTTTCTCATGAGCTTTCGTACCAGTGTATGGGACCGGTGCCAACCCAGCACCGTGAGGAAATTGGGGAGCTACAATGGGTAGCGTAATCCGGTCAGGAAAACTAGCAATGGCTGGGGGTTCATCGTGCTGACCACACGTCACCCTGTATCTGGTTGGATGATCGTTCACCTCTGCTTAGGCATGTGAACGTGAGGCCAGCAGTCAAGCTAGTCGGCTTTGGCTCTCTGGAGCTGTTACGCCACGGATTTAATTTTTTAATCACTATAAGCTGAGGACAAAAATATTTTAAGGTAAGCAATGTGTGTACTACTGATATTCATTTTACTTTCGTATCATTTCGCTATTGTGTACTTACTATATGATAGTGTAAACATCTTATTAAGCTTTGATATGCATTTTCAAGTGAAAGAAGGCAAAGATCCACTTTTTGGCAATTTTCGCTGTTTGGTGGGGGTCTGGTCCCTAACCTGCCGTATATGCAGTGCCCTACTGTATAGATCTTAATGCAGCCACAGTGATATTTTATACATTCTACAAAAGTATTCACTAGTAGTGGTGATAATGCTGCTTCCTCCTCAGAAGTTGGTATAGCTACCACATTCGTACTATAAAATAAGCAAACAAACTATTAACACTATAAATGACACTAGTGCCATTTATAGTGTTAATAGTTTGTTTGTTTGCTTATTTTATATTATAATACACTACACAGTATGCAAAGTTTTATCATTCTTACTGTTGATGGTGGGGTATTAAATAATTTCAAGGTAGAGGAATAATATTCATACTATGTTTCATGAAAATTCATCAGTCAGTTCAAAAGTTATTATGGTGAGACAATTATGTGGACAGATTTGTACACATGCTGATAAGAAGAGCAGGATAAAAATAATTGAATTTATAGATAAATATAAAGCGCATTTGGAATTCCAAGATCTTAAAGACATAGACTTTGAGGTATGGGCTTCAAAGAGACTTTGGTTGCCCAAACTGAGTTTGCTAGTACATAGTGGGACCAGAACAGGCCTGTGGGCCTACACCTTCACATTAATAGTGATGTATCATTATTTATAGGTTGTCTGTACATGATGCTGAGTTATGCATATTACTAAATGCAAATGTTTACTAATTTCAGGCTTATGGCCACTATCAGGAGGCATCACTCCACCTCCGGCATGCACTGGAGCTGAAACCTGCATTTGAACCAGCTCTTGCAGCACTTAAAGACATGGAGTCCATACCAGATACAACTATTCACATTTATACTGTACTAATCATCATATGTCTGGTAACTTTCAGATAGGCTGTAGGCTTTATGCTTTTATTCACTATTTGTTGAGATTAAAGGTCAACTATTTACAAGTTACTATCACATATATTACTATTTCTATAACTTTAAGCTATAAATGAGATTTGGAAGCCCAAATTTGAATATAATATTGTGATTAAAATAAATATGAACAGGGCCAGACTTCAGAAAATATATTTGTATAAATAGTATTTCTCTTTTATGAAAGTGCTGCAAAAATTCAGATAGATTTTCATTCATTTTATAATAATCTGCCCCACAAGTAAACATAAACTTGGAGAAATTAACAAGTGTGGAAAGTTCATGGTGTTGGGCAAAGGCAATGATAAATATGGTATAACAGTAGTAGCATGACAGCACTTACCAAAATAAATGTTTATGAACAAGCATGCTGGAACATAAAGTACCAAGTTTATACAATTTTTAATTCTTTATTAATATCTCCCATAAAAGAAGACTTTAAATGCAGTAGGTGTACAGATAACATTACATAACTGCATTATAATAATACTGACAGTGCTGTTTTTTTGTTTTTTTTTAAAAAAAAGGTATTGGGGGTACTCCTAGTAATCTTGTCCTCTGTGGATGGGAACATGGAATCAGAGTTCTCAGAAGTGAAGACGCAGCGCCACTTCAACCGTGCCATGGCCATGCGCAGTCTGAAGATGGGCATATCACCTCGAGCACTCCGAGTTAAGCGTTATGGTGGAGGAGGGAGTGGAGGTGGCAGCTGTGGGTGAAACAACTTTGTCGTGTGGCTATTTGTAACACCACAAGGATGTAAGTTTGTTTACAGGTACTACAGTAACAATATGCTATATATATGTACTTGAATGTTCACATAGTCTATCATAAAATAGCATGTCATACAAATCCATGGATCTAGTTCATATCAATACCTGATAAAATGAGTTCTTTTGTTTTTGTATTGTTGTGTAATGGAAATGAATATTAACACTTTTTAATGAGAAAGAGATCTATATGAAAATAGAAAGGCCTTTTCCTGACAGTAGTAGGTAGTTAAGTTACAAGTTAGTATTTGTAGGTTTAGAAAGAAGTGTTGATATGACAATTAACAGCATTGATGTCAATACTGTATATTACCCATTGTGAATAGTATTTATATTGCCTTTCTGTTCTCTATGAAAATGTCTTTCTGTGTATATGTAACTGGGAGGTCTTATTCATTCATTCTTTTCCATTGAAAAATCATGGAATGGGATATTAACCAAATATCACATGTAATGCTGTCATTTAAAGGGGATCTTGTGTGTTCACTGTGATATTTTCAATTGTCTTTACATTGTCCCATATATAATAGTGCATTTCATTGCTTCATGTTCCAATTTTCAGTGAGACTACATAAAGCAGTGGTATTTGTGTCAAATCCTAATTAAACCAATGTTCTCAATCTATACAACCCCATTTATAATCCTTTAAAATGTCTATGAGAAGGTGAATACTACATTTGCTCATTTAATTGCCATTTTATTATTGCAGCTCTAAAAAGTATGCAGTCATTATTGCATGAAAAATGTGATTAAAATGAGGTTATGCTTTGGGGAAATAATTTTTTTTTTAATTATATCTATTGGTATGCACAGACTGAGATATCATAATCATGCCCATTACCAACATTACAGATCTACCATTCTGATTTTAGAACTCAGAAGTGCTGTAAAATCATGGGCATATGGTATGGGTAACACCTTATTTGGAATGTGAAATATTACATTGATATGACAAGAGTCAAATTAAAACTTGTCCTTTCCCGGGGGTAAAGCCGGCCGGGGCGTGATGCTGACCACTCACCCCCATCTAGTGCCGAGGTCAAGGAAGACAGGAGCTATACCTCCTCTCACCCCAAGCGCCTACATGGCGCATAGCGGGACAAACTTTACTTTTACTTTACTATATAAAGAAACATTTTAAGTTTGTTTTCAAGCATAGACTGGCTGTCATACTTTATTTGTATGAAGCCTACAATAGCTTCTACATGATTAAATCCTTTACTCTTTTCAGATTTCTTCCGTTGTTACACAGTGTATATAAAAGCTTCCATTCCTTATCACAGCTATTTTTCATGGACCATTTTCTATCATTCCATTTGCCATAAATCTGTTATTAATTAGCAGTTTTGGCTTCCTTTCTTAAATTTAATATTACTTGAGAATGAACACCATTCCACTATTTTCATAGGTTAAAAGAACTGTCATCTGTGTGTATTTGATGCAGATTAACTTTTCAGTTGTAATACAGAGTCTGTAGATTTTCCACACTGCATCTTATGAGCATTTTGTTAATTTATTAGAATTTGGTTATACAGTTACTGTAGGAAATGATCAACTCATTTGAATGATGGTGGGGAGTTTGCCTTATTTCCACTAATGCCATATTTTATTCCAAGTGAATTATGACTTGGTGTTGTTCATTTAAGTTACTTTATCCTCTGTATAGTATGCAAACAAGAATGTAGACCCAGCTTTTCTTTAGTGCTGCCATCATAGTAACCAATATCAGACAAGCTGTATTGAAAAAATAAAAGCAGCAGCAGCTAATGTGTGCCTGTAGTGTACTTATAATGGAATTTCACTCTTACAGAAGGTTAATGCAAGTATTCCCAGGTGCAAGACTGCTCTTATATTAGAAAAATAACCAAATGTTGGTGGAAATTTTAATATCATACGCAGGTGTGTGGGCTTCCTTTTATATTTCATGCTGTTTGATACAAATCTGTGCCCAGTAATCATATGACAGTTGTGCTTACATTAAGCATGGTCAGCGATATTTGTAGTACATAAAGCACATTTCATACTGTGGTTGCACTCTATATGGGGAGTGAACTTCAATAACACAACACACATCACAACTTGTTTTCCATTATTATCTACTATAGTGCCATGTTTTGGAGGGAAAGTGGTAAATACATGAAAGGGATAAAGGTAACAATGAAATGGGGAGAGCATGGATAAATGAAACAAGAGTATGAAAGGGATAAAGGAAATTAAGGAAGGATATGAAATAAATCATACTCTGTTGGATTTCAGCAGCTTTTACTTTAGTTACAGCATAAAAGGCATGTTTACATTTATATTACTTACCAGTCATATATGACATCACAAGTTCTTCACTGAAGCCAAGAAATAATGTATAAGACTTAGTGAAAAACCAAGATCTTATTTAGGATAAAAGGGAAAGATTTTAAACCCTTTAATTTGCAACTTCCTTTAGCAGACTTAACCCTTTGCGGTCCTATGTTGGACTGAGTCCACCATGTATTTTACAAATTTTTTTACGTGATATGGAGTCAAACTGAGGTTGGCAAACAGTGTCAGCATATCATTCAAGCCTTCTTCTTTGCACTAGTTGTATCCTAGAGAGAGAAACGTCGTCTTATTCTGACACATGTCCAAAGTAGCCAGAACTCCACACCAAGTGTTTTACCATACATCATATAATGAAGGAATTCCAATGGATGTGTAGCTGTCATATTTGCTTAGAATAGAAGTATTTTATATCTGATAAAGTTATAAAACAAATATCCCATCTCCCTGGCAGGAAATTATATTTTTTATCATTTTTGACACATAGAGCAATCCACCACTGACATGCATATTCATTCATCTTCTTATCAAGCATTCTTTATGTGTAGTGACTTCAAAGGTTAAACTTCGCGTTGTTTCACTTTTATGGTGTTGAACTTGGTCTTGATCTTTCGAACACAATCAGCGCGAAAGGACGCATAGCTCTGAGATTATGAAATCCAATGCTTATACATCGTATATCTGCATGCAATAAGAGATGTTTAGATGTCGCCAAAGTCATATCTATGGACTTGGTCTTGCTTTATTCTCTACCGAACAACAGCAAGCAGAAAGGCACCACTTATTACACATCTCACTAGCAACAGTAGTACAGTCTGTGAAAAATATATCACACGGTCAGTATTCAAGCAAGACGAACTGTGATCCTCTCAGAACATATTTTCACCATATTTAGCAAAGTTTATTCGTTTTATGCAAGTTATAAAAGAAAATCAAACCAGTTCATAATAGTAGTTTAATTTATACAGCTTAGTGGTATTTCAATAGACCAGCAGAGAGACAGTGGTATTTAAAAGGGACTGCAAAGGGTTAAATTATCATATTACCTGTCAAAATTATGAGGTTGTGTAGCAGCATAGCCACTGAGCAAATGTAGTATTAAAGCAAATTAAAATGGAAAGAAATTTTATCTGTAGCCACATTATATTTGAAGGAAAATATAACCGTGGCAGAAACATTATGAACAGCAAAACATATACACAAAGCAGTATTTTTAAATTTGTTTCTTTTGTATCAGTTGTAACAAAGGCATTCATTAATGAAACTGCAGTGCATCTGAGACATCTCACCTATATCACTGTTGAATTTAAACATGTTTATAAAGTTAATTTATGTTGGAAATTATTTTGATACCTGGTTATAATTGCCAGATTTCTATGATCTCTGGTACTTAAGCAACAAAAAGGAAACTAAAAACTACGTGTATTTTACCTCCTAATTCTGTTTTGTTCCAGTACCCTTCTACATCTTACACACACAAGAACAATGCTCAGAAAAAAATATTAATCAAAAATTAGAAACATGTTCAACTAATGTTATCTCCTTAATGATTTCATTTCCTTTCAGTACACTACATATTCTAAGCAGATTCAACCAAAAGACAGCACTGTCACACCAGATATTTACAGAGTAAAATATTATATAGTTAAATCACAAATATCTGGCATTTTAGTTTGGGATAATTTATCACTGACAGTTCTCAAACTGGAACCTACATTTTATATCTCTATACATCATACAAAGATGATTTAAAACATGTATTGTGTTTACAAACAAACATCAGATATAATTTAACAAATATAATATATATTTTCTTTGATTTTTAATAAATTTAACAACCACTTCAATTACAATTTTTATTTCATTTTAACGGTGTATATATCTATGGATCACACTTGACATTTCTAGTTATCTTCCAAGTTTAGACGAAATTGAAGGTGCTCATTAAACAATAATTTGAGTTTAATAAAATATTCATAGAATGGTTATGTAGTCATGCTATTTTTGAAGTCAGTTTTGGGGAATCTTAATTTGGGCAAATATAAAAAAGATGCAGGTGTATGTCAGTCAGATTTCAAAATATCTTGATTACGTGATTAATATCCTTCCCCATTGCAGACACATTTCATATACAGATATGAAATGTGTGGAATGAGGATGTTACATAGCTGCAACCTGAATGTGGAATATCAGTTTCATACCACATCTCAATCGCAAATTTGAATTGCCAAGCTATGGATGTATAGCACTGAATTTAAACATGAGGACAAAAACTTTTAGAACTTGTAAAACAAATAAGATAATTTATTACCAATGCCTATAACTTGCATGCACTGTGTATTATTACATATGTAAAACCCTGTAGTTGTTCAGCATTTTAGAAATTTAAATATACCATTTCTTGTTAGGTTGTTGTAAATATGTGGAAATGTGGCTATAAAAAAGCTTTTTACAGAACTGTGAATTATGAAATTATACAACCTTCATATTCATGAAAATTCTAGAGAACTGTGTAAACTGTAATAACACTGGAATTTGAAATTTCATTTGTGCAAGATATTTAAAATTCATACAATGTTTGGGCCTTGTTCTTGCCTGTAACATATTTGGCAATGAATTTTTTTTTTATAGGTTCTATTTAACACAGCATCAACTAAGGAAAAGCTCCAAGATGTCTTTGCCATTGTCATCTCATTTTTGATTTCACAAAAACTGTATGAAATGAGAGGAATACTACAATACAATTACTAAAGATAACATACACCTCTCAATGGGACTTTCATCTAGAGAACACTCAAATTCTTCTCCCATAACCTCAGAACTTTATTATAAACTAATATTTGAATACCACATCCCCCCCCCCCCATTCATTTGTTGTTTGTGCCCATCTATCCAGTTTTGATTTTATGCACCTTTTTGGCCTCTTCCATCCTAACAAGGGGAAGGAATTCTACCAAAGTTGGAAGCAAAAATGAAGTGGATTCTGCTAATCCTAAAAATTATGAGAATGATTCAGAAGAGGGGACCCAGACTGGAAATAGGGTGGGAATGCAGTAATATGCATATTTCCAGAGTCAAGGCTTTAGAAGAGGTGAATATTTGATCTGTCACAGAAATATCTGCACTTATATCTGACCAGGCCAAATGAATGGTATTTTACTACAAGACCAATAGGTGGGCATTTCTTGCTAATAATGGCTATCATGCATTCCTCACAAGGAACAATTAACCCAATTAGAGTGTTGTGTGATCACCATTACGTTTAGTTCCCATATCTTTATAATTAAATACAAAACTGTGAATACTTTGAAGAGTAAAATTAACAGAATTTCCTCCATTTGCAGGCTTGAACAGGTACAGGAAGTATATAAATCACTGGACCAAATACACCTGTGAGCTTGGGGTTGTACATACTATAATTAATTAACTTTCTGTTGTATATTCTGTGAAGTTGATTCCTGTTTGAGACTCTACCACAAAAGGCTAATTCCATCACAATTTCATGGCAGGTATGTTTCATTATGGATAATAATTACTGTAGTTCAGAGATGAGAATATTGGTTTGGAAGATATTATTAAAGTGTAATAATGATCTGCTGACAATGTGCTACACACAAGTACAGTAACGTTTACACAAATTCTTGATGTCAAGAGGAATCTATACAGTACAGTCCTCCATTATTTTTCCTCTAGCCTTAAATCATATATATGTATGTATGATATAGACTTTGGATAATATTTATCCCATACCATTGACATAATTTGGCTGTACCTTCAAAACTGAACCCAACTGGAATTGCTAGGTGATGCACTGAAACAGAAACAAACAATACATTTAAGATATAAGCAACATTAACATACAACCACAAGTGGCCCCTTTACAGGCAAGTACATTGTTGCTTTTTAAGCTATGACTTTTGTAACTTTGTATTTTTAACCTCAATCCTACTGCAAGGTTTATACAGGCTGGTTATACAGTTCAGTGTACCATCCTGGTGGGATAAGGATGAATTAGACCATGTTGATGCACTGACTTTTTTAACTTTGAGTGAACAGAGGCACAAAGAGCCATAGACACTGATGTTCTTTTAACATAACAATAAATACAGCTATAAGTGTCCTGCAAAATAATATTTGTTTGCATGGCACTCGGAGAACTTTCCTCTATGTAGTGCCATGATTAAGAATTGGTGAAGCTATAACTGCACTCCCTATACACTTCATGGTATGGTTCAAATTTTTTCTGTATCTTGGCACCCTAAGCCTAATTCACTGTTTTAATCAAGATGGTTCCCATGTATAAATTTTAATGAATATATCACTCACCTTGGTTTGGCTGCACTAGCAAAATCTCCCCATGATTCAACTCCTGCAGTTGCAGGCCTTGCTGGCACTGATTGACCCCTGTGGGTATCAGCACCAACACCCAACATCAGATCTACATTACTTGACGCTGATACTGTAGTTTGCTGTAGGGGAGCCTGATGTGAAGGTGAGGAAGTAGGGGTGGTTCTCATTCCACTGCTTGTTGGCGGTGGTATCTTCACTCCACCTGGTGGAGGTGGTAAGATCCCTGAACCCAAACCACCAGCATTAGGCCTTGCTTTGGACTTGCTTGAAACTTCACTGCCATCCTTTTTCTGAAATTGAAACAGCAATAAAATCACTACTAAACACTCTTTAGAAACTACAGTGAAATGTTACATTAATTTAGGGAAGCTAAAGATGGGCCAAGAGCTCAACCCAGCCAGCAAAGAAACATTTTTAACCGCTTCTGTTCAACAGATGTTGAAAATAATGTTCACAGCTTGCTTTAGAAGATTTTGGTTTCATCTCAGGAATAAAAGATTTCAACTAGATATTTTGATATTCATTAATAATTCAGAAAAGTGCCAGTATATCAATATATAAAACCTTTAAATCTATAATTACTAAAAGTACAATTTTATTAAATTAAGCCTAATATTTCCAGGGCATCTAAATTATAATACAATGAATGCAGCATACCGTGATTTTCATATTGATCTTGATAGTTTCCCCTTCTTTGAAGCGAAGATCTAATTCCTGTTTTGGTACTTCTTTCTCTTTCTCAATTTCTTCCGACTTTTTGAGCCATTTGAAATGATCTTGCAGAGCAACATTCATGTCAAAACTATCAGAACGATCTGAATATCCCACACCAATGAATGCTGACCGACCTGTCAACAAAGGGCCAAAGCACTTGTAATTCTACAATCAGTGTACATTATTTTGCTAATATTCTGCTTGCCAAGCCCTTTGGTACTTATATGCAAGCAGTATGAGGAGTTTAGGGCTAATATATTTAATTCTGACTGGAAGCCAGTCTCCAAACATAAATTATATTATGGTAGGCCATGCAACCAGAAAGTGATTTCTGTTGTTGGACTGAATCTGACTTCTGAAAATAAAAGTTTTTATGCATGGTGCTTTGGGAAACTTTTCAGCCTGAAAGGAAAATAAGTGGTATGAGGAGCTTAGTGCTAATATATTTAATTCTGACTGGAAGGAGCTATATCACTGAAATCTGAAACATTTCCTAATCACACAGAACAAGAAATTGTGTTGTTATGTAGATGTTTGTGAAGGAAAACTAACTACTTAAAAAACAATTTAGATAAAGTATAGTAGTGAAAATTTCTAAGCCAAACTGTGATGTAAAATATCTGATAAATTATATAAGACAAAGGGAATTATATAATTCTCTGCCACTGTGAAACATTTTAACCCAGAATCTAAGTTGTTTCCAAATTTTTATTACCACTGTCATCTTGAATTCTGAGCACAAAGTACCGAGATGAATCAGTGACAGCCTCAATAGCAATTCCAGGATACTGGTCAATAGGGCATTTTGCAAAAAGTTCTCCTGTATTTTTGTCTTCCAATTTCAATACACAGTCTTTCCCTTTGGCAACTAATCTTAACCTTCCAGTCCACTGTGGTTCATTCAGGTTCCAATCTGCTGCCCTGAAAGAGAGAAACTTATACAAACCAAAGTTTCAACAGAAATCCTTAAAAAATAATGTTTTAATTGTTACAAATTTTTAGTATGCATATGATGATGATGATTTCATTTTCACACTGTAACATGGCTTCTGTAGGCAAATATTAATACAATAAGCCATTAATTAAGAAACAACTAAGGAGATCAAAACAAACACCTGGATACTACACGTTGCTTTCACTTTGTCTTACTACTGAAATTAGTTGAAATTTCAATGGGCATTATTAACCAGTTCAGTTGTAGCATAAGTGTATACTATAACTGGGGCTCTGCTTGAAATGTCTCGTCTCCATGACACTGTTATTAGTTGCAGGAAATGAATTATCAAACAGGTATGGCAGAACATCTGCTGATAATGACGGATTGTGTTATACTCCCTATGAATTCTGTCACCTTCTAAATAGGGCATCTAAAACATCTTTACGATTACATCAATGCAAAATGTCACAAAAGTAGATCAAACGTCAAAATGGTGAAATAAAATGACGTCGTTCTAATTCAAGCTTGTAGCTAGTTTACAACTTATTATTACTGGTCATATAACCATGAATACCTGTAGCCTCTATTAGTAGTTCGAGGTGGTATTTTAAATACAAATACTTCTGATTTAACAAGCAACACACTCTCATAAGTCTCCATCTTCACTTCAGTGCACTCTGCTGTGAAGTTCTATAATTATAACAAATGAACAAAAGACGCAAAGGAAGACGGTTTTGCGTGAATCAAACAATTAGCTGAGAGATCGGATACACGGGATGGAAAGCTACAACGTCCGCAGGTCGCAGAACAGTTCATGCTTGGTATAATCTGTGATGAAAGTTATGGTTGCTGTTATGATCTTTACTGCATTGGAAATCAAAAATGGTTGTATGTGTATTGTACTAAAGCATGTTACAGTAAAATTCTGCCAGTAAACAGTACTAAATCTGTTCCATTTATATTCCAGGATAATGATACTAAAATATACCTTCAGTATGTGTCGTCGGCCTATGATGAATTTTGGGTTGCAATGAAACAAACTCATTCTGTAGAATAGTCCTGATTAGATGTTTAATATTCCATTCAAATAAATGGCACATGTGAACGTAATTTCTGAATCCGAACATGTGTCAAAACATGTATAAAACGATTTTCGTAATGTTGAAATCTGGAAATTGTTATAAATGCAGATTCAAGTGATTAAATGAAACTTGACCTTGATGTGAGGAGAAAGATATATAATTCCACAGTAGTGAAATGCGCTGAATCGAATGCGGTTCGGTTGCCGCACCCCAAAGGAGTCGTTACATAATTTTGAGGTTAGTGAAAAGTCTCGGATATTAATAGTTTAGAACATAATTTATTTTATTTCAAAGAGCCTTTATAATACAAGCAAAGGATATGAAACACATCATAATATAAATACGAACACTTATTATATCAGTATAAATACTCTGTTGTTGAGATGGTAAAGTTGCGTCATATTGTGATATAATAAATATGTATTATTTAAATTATTTAAATCTTGTCCGTCTAATCACAATAAATTCTTATTAAATATTAAAATATTACAATAATTAACATTTAAATATTTAAAATATTATAAATTATAAAAATATAATTTTATTTACATTAGACCATGATGGTCTAATGTAAATCGAATATTTCGATAAAGAACATCATTTAATATTTTAAATATTTAAATGTTAATTATTTTAATATTTAATAAGAGTTTATTGTGATTAGACGGACAAGATTTAAATAATTTAATTAATATATACTATGTTGTTGCAGCTATTTAAATAAGAATTTTCACTTTCAGTAAATTTGCCTACAGAGTAGATGGTTTGAGATAGAAGATAATCCTTTAATGGTAGCTTAGACACTTACATATGATGATATAAACTTTTAATTCTAGAGTAAGGAATATTGCCTAACTTGATCCCCACATAGTAGCATCTTTCTGACAGCTAGTGAGGTTAGTATTCAGCATAATGAAGTCATGTTTATGTCTCATATTAAAATTGTGTATGTCAAAATTTGTTTGTGAACTCCCCGTATGGCCCACAACAAATGGCAGTAGAGAGAGTAAGAATTTATTTAAAATTTTAAGGATATTGAATTTCTTAAGTACTTCTCTTACAAGAGACCTTTTTAACACCTGACATTATGATAATGATTATCTTTTGCTGGCTGTTGAACTTGTCATGCTTGAATTGAAATAAGCAAAGTAAACTAATTTTAAAGTATATATTTTCAAAATCAGTGTGACTGTGGCAAAGCATGTTGAACTTAGTTTTAGAATAGTATATTCGTTGTGCTTTTTCCAGTTTAAGTTATTGTCAGTTTATAAGCCAAGTAATTTAGTTGGTACTTCTTCAATTGATTTATTATCTTACCCTATATATAAGTTAATAAATTTTTTGTTGTTAGTAGCAAATTTTATTATGTTTGTTTTGGAAAAATTTAATGTTGACTTATTGGTTTTAAATAATTTGTTCAGGCTAGTAAATACATCATTAATGGAACTTTGAAGGTAGTTGTTATCAGGATGATATATAACAATTCAGAACCAGAAAAAAAGAGTTAAGTCAAACCTAGATTTGACAGATGTATAGAAGACAGCGTTACCTTATCAGATTATAATTAAACTAGTTATTAGCAATATAGAGTAGACATTTAATGTATGAAAATAAACTTATAGCTATATTACATTTATTTTTTTAATTTTATGAAATGAAAGCTATGCCTAGCATGAGTATTTATATTTAAAGAATTTGTATTCTAGAAATGCACATTTGTGGTTTATGAACATTTGGTTTTAAAGAATGCAGATGTACAGACAGAAAGCATAATAAAGTTTGCAAATAGCAGCTCTAAGGTTTCAAGTCTGATGGGATTAGATTAAAATTGTGGATTGTTATAAAGATATTTTTCACATTACTTTTGAAGTGCAGTCCAAACTTCATTGAGAGGTGTGGTGTTCTTGTAATTTTCTGTGGCATTTTTTAATTCTTTTGAATTTATACCCTGCTATACTGAAGCAGTTTGTCCTTGTCCTCTTTAACTCTCTTTTTCTCAAATTGGGAAAAGAGTACAAGTTACAAAATTTCTCATTGTTTATGTCAGTACTTTTTTTCCCTCCAGAATCTATGGTAAGAATGGGATGAGATTGCGATATTAAGACATGTACTTTCAGAAAATAATTTAATTTTACGTGTTTCTTAAAGAAAGAAGTTGCTGACAGTAACCACATTTGGTTGAATTTGTGATGAGACAGAACAATCTCTTTTGTTTAGATGTTGAGGCAGGTAGTAAGAATTACCTGGCAGCGATGTGTAGAGAGAATGAACATCCAGAAACAGAGCCTCCATAATGTTCAATCCCAACCATTGGAAAGAGAATTTGAAGAAATACAGATTCCAGTTCCATGGGGTCATATATCAGGTGACTTTTATATAAAAGTTCAATAATTGTCAAAATCTTGTTTTCTGGCATATATGACTGATTGCTGCCTTCCCATACCAAGTTTCCATATTACTTAGTGTGTTGTGTCATCAACAGTGAAATCTTATAAATCCATTGCTTCACCCATGTACTTATGCTGTGATCTACAAGGTCTACCTTTCTTCTCTGGTCTTGCTGGTGACCCCATTAGCCAATACCCTACTTCCCATTGTCCTCACATGATGTGGTTTTAAGTACATTATAAAAATATATATGTTCAGTTTACACTACTGATATTGTTTCTACTTTTCATAAAAATATATTTGTGTAGAATATGTTCTGCTTACTTTTTAAGTAAATAGCACATTTTACACAAAATAAACTGTATTGAAATAATCAAATTGTATGAGTATAATGGCATTTTGAACAAATATTCCAGGTGACAATTGTTGTGTAATCTAGTGTAAGTTTACTGCTATTGGCCGAAAGGGAAGTTAGTGAAAGTGGTTTTTAACTGTACTGAAATTCTATATAAACTAGGAGTTAATTGCAACTGATACAGACCAACTTTAAATTGATTGACAACTTTTAAAGTCAACTCAATTCTAAATTTCAATTAAATCTAAGTATTAGTTTCATGCAGACAGATGGATATCCTTAGTTGTATGTTAAACATTTTTTTGGAAAAAATCTGCATGCATAGTATTTACATCTTCCATTGCTTTGTATTAACAGTTATAATTATTTACAGGAAAGTGTTGGGGTTCTCTAAATGCAAAACCAGTTCTGTGCCTTCATGGATATCAAGATAATGCTGGTACGTGGGACACCTTAGCACCCCTACTTCCACATGATATTAGTCTGCTGGCAGTAGATTTACCAGGGCATGGACTATCTTCACACATACCTACTGGAAATGCATACCATTTGTTAGATTTTGTTTTGGCCATCCAGCGTATTGTTAATCATTATGGATGGAAAAAAATTTCTCTGATGGGTCATTCATTTGGAAGTATTTCAGGATTTGTATACTCAGCCCTGTATCCAGAACAAGTAGAGCATTTCATTGCCTTGGATACAATTAAACGTTTTAATACCGATCCTGCAAGGAAACTAAAAAATCATGGGGAGATTTTAGATAAATTCCTTCACTTAGATTCTCTAGACCCAAAGAGTAGTCCATCTTACATATACGAGGATGCAGTTGAACACTTACACAAAAGCATGGAGAAATGCACAACAAAAGGAGGATGTGAAATTCTGTCACGAAGGGGAACCATTAAAATGACTGATGGGAGTTACTCCTTCAGTAGAGATGCTCGTCTCAAAGCTAGTGTTGATTTGTCATATACTTGGCAGTATGTTCTTCAGTTTGCAGCTAATGTAAAATGTAAAGTTCTGCATATACAAGCTCTTCAAGGTCTAACATTGGAAAAACCTGAAGAAATGGATGAATTTCTTGATGTACTTAAAAAATCAGCAGCACTGTATGAATCCCATACAGTTGAAGGTAGACATTATGTTCATTTAGATTTCCCAGAACGAGTAGCTCCTATAATTTCAGATTTTTTGAAACAGAAATGACTTAACATAATAGTTGAAAAGTAATGCTTACTTTCTACTCATTTGCAGCTGGATTGTGAAGTGAAGAAAATAATGTGTTTTCATTACAGCACTTAAGTCTTTTAAATTGTTCTTGGTTTGAGAAAATATTGGCTTCCACAACTGAATAGATAGTTTGAGATACATGCATTTGTGCTTGTGCATATGCCATATAGTCTGGTAGGTGTCCGCCAGACTACACAGCGCAACAACCTAGAAGACAGCAATCTTCAAACTCTGCTGTGAAAACCTCAAATCTTAGCCTGGTTGCTGTTAATATATGAGAACATCATAAAACCCTTAATGTGGAAAACCCAAGTACCAGCAAGCTTCTCATCACATTCTGAAATGTACAGTGTAAAATATGCATTATTTTATTGTTATTATTTAGTTCATAGTGCAAAAGAGCAAAATATTTTAATATTTTGGAAACCAAACATCAGTAGTCTTTCAAAGTAAAATAACTTGGAGTGTGTCATCTCAAAAATAGACATGGAAAATGACAAGCATATGTTGTAGATAACAAAAATCTAGAAAAATTATTCCCATTGTTCAGTCTGTTTAGCTCTTTAAAGCTGAGAAGTATCTATATGTACTGTAAACCTTGACAATCAGTACAGCTTGGTTTTGTATGTTTTTCACCATAAATTTGAGTTACTAGAGCAAAGCGCTCCTTTTGTCTATCAAGGTCATTCAGCAAAAAAGTGTAAGATCAATATCAACAAATCGACAACAATGGTTACTTAGGAAAAGTCATCGGTTTACTCGGCATACAATGAAAGGAAGGGGGTTGGTTGTGTTTTAAAATCTTGAGTAAGAAACTAAACTAAGCCCCCCGAATGGAGGGTTAAAACACTTGACCAACCCCCTTTCAGGGGGGTTGGTCAAGTTTTTAAAACGCAACCAACGCCTTTTAAAATCTTGAGTAAGGAACTAAACTATACCAACACAACAATGCCGAGTAAACAAATAACATAACATTGTTTGATGACTTAATTGTTTGGCTACAAATTGTATGACGACGACGACAAATCACAAATTTTTATAGTAAGAAAGAAGATTCCCTTAAACAGCAAATTCAGATACTCAAAATTCTTCCTTTGCATTTATTTATGGCTGTGCTGATAATGGCAATTTACTGTTGTGTGATAAAGGTGGCATGATTATATGTAAAATATTTGAATTGTTAAAATGAGAATAGTGACATTTGTGCACAATGTGCTGTTAAAATATATAGTTACATTCAGCCAGTAGTTGTAGAGAAAAATCACATATCATGGTATGTAGAAACTTGCAGGTATTGGGAGTTATTGGAGCATAGAAAATGCTCACATGCTGGGAATAAACATTCAGACTTTCTAGATATTTGTAATTTAATGTCTGGTAGTTGCATTTATTATGAGGTATTCTGTACTATATCTGAGGGGAGAAATAAGTAGAATAGCAAATTCCTGAAGCTATTGTCATTCAAATTCTTGGTTCCACGGAATGTGTATTGTTATGTAAGAGTTCCTGTTGTTAAGTACAACTTTGTAATAACTGTGGAATGTTTCACAGAAAATAAAATGGTGTATTTAAGAAACCTTTGATAAGCAATGTGTACTACCCGTGGAGATGTTTCATAATTTAAAGTTGTATATGTTACTGCATTTGTTATTTCTGTTAAGCATTGTGTGATGCTGTGGAATTGATGTTTAACAATGTATTTAGTACGATGTGAATGCATATTTTTACTTTGATGAGTGACACAAGTTGATGAGCGTTCTTCCGCTCTTTGACTAGTGTTCCGTGCTTTCAAGATGGCCGATGCCGAAAACCTGTGATACCTGACACGAAGTAATTAGCCGTGCTGTATAAAAGCAGTACTTGGCGCGTTTCTAAGAATTTAAAATTAAATCTTCTGAAATGCAGTTTTACCTTAGTTAGTTTATGAAAATTGCTAATAACGTGTCTCTAGATATAAGTGTGTAGTGCCTACAGACCTCCGTTCCACATTAATGAAGACAGGTGCCCAGGTAAATAGAAATTATTATTAAATTTCGTGCCATATCAAACGTGTTGGGACTTTTGCCAGAAATCTTCAGTTGGAAAATACGCAATGTTAGGTTGTAGCGTTTACCATGTTTTTCATACAAATGTGCAGAATACTGAACAAATTAAGTTGACCTAATCTAGGAGCAGCCTTACTCAGTTTGTTGGAGAGTTAACTAATATAGGTAATGTGTTAATTTGGCAGGCATTCCATAGTTTTAGCCATGTGTATATATTATGAGAGGTCGTGATATGAACACACCTGTTGTATTACCACTATCTGTAGATAACATTGTGGGCATTGATAATTTAGAATATGGCTTCTGGTTTAAGTGGGCTATAGTGCTGTGTAGTCTGGTAGGAGATTACCACCGTTTCAGGGCCTCTGAAATGGTGGTCAACTCCTACCAGACTACAATCCAGAAGATGGCTGTTTCCAAACCCACCACCATGAGAACCTCAGACCCTACATTGCTATTATAATTCTCTGATGATGTTTATTTTCACTGCAACATATGTTAATTTAAGCACAAAATGAATAACTTTACAAAATTATCCCTAAAGAAATATAATCAAGTCCAAACATACAAGCTTTTGGCAACCATAAATGAACTAAAAAAAGTATTTTAAAAAAGACTACACAAGTAATGATGGTTGTTAACAAATCTCTGTACATTTGTAACAAGAATTAATATGTTCATAAAGATAGCCAGAAGTAATTGAGATCAAAGATTGTCAGGGCAGTGAAGATGTCACTTGCGGTCTTGTAGGTGTTTACCACTGTTGCAAAAGAACAAACTGCCTTCCACTTCAACCCTGATTAGTAACCAATGAGTTATTTGTATACAGATATATGATTTTATAAACGTGTGTATATTTGGTGTTGCTGCCTTTTAATTGTAGTTTTTCATTCTAGTCTCCTGCCAGTTCTTTGAATTCCATGGATTTAACCACATCAGCTCTTCAATTTATTTTCATATGTCCATCCTTTTTTCCACTTCACTTGTTTCCACTCCAACATCCTTTTTGGCTATCAGTCATCCTGCATTTGTATGTGTGTCCATATCATGCTACTTGCCTTTCTTCAGAGTGAGGAAAAACAATCAATAGTTTTCATTTTTATTTTTAAATGTCTTGATTTTGTAAGACACTTGTAGTTCAAGACAAGGGTAGAAGGAAATAGGTTGGCCTTGCCTACACCCTTTGCAAAAGCAGAATGAAACGCAGTCCCTTTCCTGAAGAACCAGGCACTAGAAAGACTGTCTAACAGTCAAACAAGGAGGGGGTATAAAATGGATCTAGTACATGTCTTAAGACTCAAAAATGATCTACTCGAAGTTAACAAACAGAATTTATAGTGAAGTAATGAAATGTTTCCATTTCCATAGTATTTTCTTGTTATGTGCTGCTTATAGTTTAGTTTAGTTCCTGTAACTCAACTAAACTATACTACAGACTACGTTGCCTAATAACAGTTTTTTTTTTCCTCCTGCTGACTGCCGGTTACTGGGTTGTGAGTGATTATGAGTGCGGGAAAGAAATAATTTGTGTTGAAGAGAGATGCCAATTGTACAAGATGCTAACATATTGTGACAAAGAAACAAACAGAAATTTAATTTATATAAAAATTAATCATAAAATAAAGGTAAGTTGAGATCTGAGGTCCTCACGGCGACGAGTTTGAAGATGGCTGCTTTCTGGAGTGTTGCTCTGTATAGTATTGCAGATAAATTTCAAATCCTGGAGACATAAAATTTACTGACATTTCAGAGATGTTTGCTGCCCCCATCATCAGGACAGTCAGCTACAAATTTCACATCTTGTCAGAAAGTAGGCGAATGAGTGTGAAAGCGTAAACATAGATTTATGTCTATCAAAATTAAATATCCTTGTTTGCTTACACTGTTTTTGTAAATGTTCCAGGTCTGTGATGCTGACACATGACAAGGACTTGGTTTCATCACCATCTGCTGTAACAGCGAGCGACTACTGACACACAGCTGTATGAAGCAGGTAATTTAACAGTTTGAGGTTTCCATGATAGTGAAAATGTGGATTGTAGTCTAATGGGTTGTGATGCTTCATAACCTTGTAGATGGTTACCAATGTCATAACTACCATCAAAACCTCAGACTTCATATAGTTAAATAAAACATTGTAATCTGAGACTTTTGAGCTACGTAGGTAATGGACAATATTACACAAAGATAAACATTGTGGTCTATATTCCTTTCCCATCTTTGTTGCTTTATTTTATGAGAGATGTTTGTGGTTTTCTCATGTAACACAAGATATAAGAAGCAAAGTCATATGAAAATTGGAAGATTAAGCCTAAAATGAAATAATAGTACTCAGATGTTAATGTAATTAGCTAAGGAGAGTTGGCCAGTCCTGTATATTACAGCTTCATTATAATTTTTAGAATCTGTTTGAAAATGATTACAATTTTAAATAGGAGTGTGATACAAAGGCCAGTTAATGAAGGT